AATTATTTTTGACATTGAATTTGTGTAATTACACCAAATGAATTTGGAAATTCGTGTTATATTATGTTGCTGATAGACCATTGTAAATATAATTATACCGAGTCGGTGGCGGTGTTTTAAACCACAAATTCGTTGAGTTACCGGCCACAAATTGATAAGGTAATTCATAGCAACCGCTGAGGCGGTGACAACGGTGAGGATATTCGTTTGATTTACATTCTTTATAGATGACTTCCTATTGTTGAAAAATAATAAAAAGGTACTTATTTTAACGACAACAACAACAATTTAAACGGCTTCGATAATAATGATAACATGTCCTAGATACCGCGCCGATGGCTTAACGAGAAGTAATAATTCTGGAGAGGGTGATGAAAAGTTCCCGATCGTCACCGTCTATCCGAGATGGTCACAACATTTTGTGACTGATTTGTAATCTGCAGCGTGACCGGTAAAACCAAATGAATTTCATAATTTTGGTTTCAATTTTGAGGGGAAATACTCACCGGCTATTCTCAACGAATCTGTCGAAACCTTTATGAATCATATCGGCCACTTTAATCATAATTATAGGTACCTATATTATTGTTATTGTGTTTCCATATCAACGTTTGGATCGTTTTCGTGAAAATAAACTAACTAATTTTGCTCCACGTAGAACCGTATGAACTAATATTATTCCACAGTTTCTATTTTGAGTATATTATTATTTGGTATGAAACACCTATGATTATATAACTATATTTAAACCATATTAAATACACAGTTGTTGATTGACATTCCAGGAAATTATGAATTATTCAAACAAAAATAAGATAAGAAAGACGTCCTAGGATAATGGGGACGGGTGCAGCCACTGTTATTGATAATTTAATGTATAACTATAAGCAACGATAAACAATTGCTTACGAAAAAACGATTTTGAACAGAGTTCAGTTGATAATGATGTTTTGTCAACAATATATGTTATTTTATAGTAAACAAAAATTAAACAGGCTTAATATATTTTCTTTATTAATATTTGTTTAATGATGTACTGATTTTCCCAGTTTTCCTACGTTTTTGCCGTTTTTTCTTTGTTTTTTTTCGATTTTTCAAATTTGATGAGAAAATCGAAAAATGACTTTCCTTAAGTACCTCCCTACAACGATTTTCTTTCAGAAAATGTGCTACACTGAAACACCTGAGCAAGTCTTCTGGTAGAAAAGTTGCGCACAGATAAAAAAATAAATAAATATCTTTGTAAAACTATAAGCATCTTCGCTTCACTCAGAATCTAAAATTATAATATAATATTATAGTATAATCCTATAATAATATTATTATAAACGCGAAAGTTTGTTTAGATATTGTACGTGGATGTATGTTTGCTAGCATTTCTCGCTCAAACTACTGAATGGTTTGAGTTGAAACTTTGCATAATTCTAGGAATAACATAGAGCTACTTCCTCCTACCCTCCCGTATTAAACTACTAAAGGGTGACCGACACAGGGTTATTGGTACTTTGGGAACGAATTGTTTTTGTTAATTTATGGGTTACCTTGGTAATAAGGATGGAATGGTAAAAAAAAAGTTGAAACATAAAAACAATCAAATTAATAATCAGGTAGTACAAGGGTCGTAATAGTATAATTCTATTATTTCTTTTGGCACCGGAAAAGCTGGCTGGAATTATTTCTCATTTTGTATCCAATATCATTTCAGTATTATTTCTCCGAACATCATTCAAGACGTGTAACGATACTTTCTTTTCATATTAAATTTGTTTTTCCGGGGGGGGGGGGGAATATGCAAGACTTGCAGTGTTGGTCTTATTTTGTTCATCACTAATAATTATAACTTAGGTATATTAAAAGTACATTTTTAACAGATACGAAAATTCGGCCTTCTTCCTTTTATGTTCCTAGATCCACCTCTATATACATCTAGTAATATTTTTAGAAAATTTAAACATTATAGTAGAAGCGATTACATTCTTATTCAGTATTGCAGTTATTATTAACAATCAAGGATATGTGTATATTTCGTTTACTAAACATAAACACAATTAATCGATTATTTTAAATATTGATTTTATTGCTACATTTCCTCGATTTATAATTTATTCATTTATTGATGAAAACGTCGGATATTTTCACTCGACTAATTTAATTTTTAGACGTAAGTATATATGACTAATTATTGAACACCTTACAGCGTTATAACTTATATTAATGATCAGGATAACAGACTATGGCGGACGTCAATATTTATACATACCGTAGTGTTTGTTTAAATTTATTAACAACGGTACTTAATCCAAAATTAATTTTTCAGTATTTCATTTATCTAGGTTATAAAGGTTTGAAGTATAGAAGTGTCAGCATAGCCCTGTTAGCCGTAACCATCACAATAATTAAGAGTTATTTATATGGGGTTAAAAAAAAATATGAATTATTAAATTAACGAATCTTTTGATGGTATTTAATTTGTCCGTACGGCGCGTATAGTATTTCTGGAGCGAATGGCACAATTTTTTCTCGTAATTTATTATTGGAAAATATCTGCCGGAATAGGCTGTACAGTTTGTCATTAATTATTTTGTTGGCAAATATTTAATTATGTAATATCTCATTTCTCTTTCCTAAATTTTAGTGCCTATATATCAATTCCAGTTCCTGTTTTAGAACCTATATCCGTAGTCGGAAACAAATTACGGAGGGGGAGGGACGGTCATTTTGCGATCCCCTCATGTTTACATGAAAAAAGTCAATTTTCCATGAATTAAAAAGACGATTTAAAAATCGTATGGCATCTATATTATGCACCGATGTTTTAATGATGCAATAAATTGCATTTAATTACAAATTAGGTACTTAATTATATCTAGTACAAATAACAATAAAAACTTTTTAAATGCGTGAAAAGTAGTTTTCGGGGACATTTTGGTGGAGGGGAGGGAATATAACCTGCAAACAACACCTGTCTACGCCAAAATTTTATAATATTGCTATGTTATAACATCGGTTAGGTGTATGTCTTTTTCGATAATCAGTTCTGTAATACGTTTTTTATTTAAATAAATAAATAATAAAACATAATATAGACTAAAGTAGTTTGAATTAATGTGTGCTGGTTTGTTGCAAAGTTATTTAAGCAGTTTCAATTTGGCGAAATTAGAGCGGGAGCGAATATAAAACTACTTATTAAATCATTGTCCTTTGATTAATTTAAAAAGTTTAACACATTTTGATAATAAATTATTGTAATACTGTTTTATAAGATTATTGTTGTAATCTATATAAGAATTAGTTTACTTTGAAAATAATATTTTCTTTTATTAAATACAGACCAGCGGAGAGTCCTGTCACAGCGTTGCCCATGACAACAAATTGATAGGGTGGTTTCAAGAAGGTGGGGACGGGTAGCAATCGTCTTTCCGTTCAAAAAAAAGAAAAAAATTACCGAGTAATTTTAAAACCAAACTATCAGCGGGGTTTTGCACGCTTTTAACACGGATTATTATTAGATCGAGTTAGATTGAGTATTTTTCATATAGGTAATACAAATTAATGTATATTTGATTTCACCTTTTTTTGTTATTAGTGCTTGTTGCGAGTGAAACTCCGAACTATGGTTGGTTTTCATCATAAATGGGCGCTATGAATTTTAAAAATTGCTCCTTCTCCGCCGTAATCTTGTTCTGGATACGTTCTTACATGTAACGGAAGGTAGCCGGAAATCAATAAAAACAAAATTAAATTTTCGTATTCAAAGTCTATAATTTAAATGTGAGCCATGTATAGAAATTTATAAATCCGGCTTCAGCGTGTTTTCGAATTCTCATTATGTTAGTCCGTGTTCAATATTTCAGTTACGTGCCATAGATTTAGACGCACATATACACCTAAAATTTGTTTTTATTAAACAGTATTCTGCAGAAGTATTTTGTACATTTATAACCAGAAACGTATGGCCTACAGCTATATTTAATATTTATTTTGAGATTAAAAATGTATGGTCCCAGGGAAGAAGGTCTTTATCAATTTTTGGCATTTTTTTTTTATAACTTTGTCTTAATTGTTTCCCTTTATTTTTTGGTCTAAATGGTTTTATAAATAATGTATGCAATGTATTAATGGATTAATGTATTAGTATATGCATTTTGAAAATTGAATTCGCTTGTATTGAAACTACTTACATACAAAATTGATTCCAGCTGTTCACTTTAGGACTAAAGATAATAATATATTGTTACAATTTTGAGTTTACGATTAATATGACTAATATTGACGTGGGGTGGTACACTAACACTGGTACGTCGAATTCTTTTCGAAATACTTTATGGATTTAAAATTTATTGGTACTTAAGTAATTGACAGAAATCATAAATTATATGTCATTTGTAATTATACTCAAGAATTTATTTAATACGAACGTCATTAGCGATTCCTGAAGAATTTTATGTCCTTATATCGTAGCTGCAGGTATCCATATAGGTATTCGATGATATGAATAAAATAAATAGAGAGGTGTTTTTATTTTTTTTTTTACTCGAAAGTCCTGTGTATAATTTAGCGTAACAGAGCAAAGTAAAACTCTATATAATATTGAAAGCTTCTTAAAGAAAGACCACCTATACGTCGACGAAACATTTGAAAGTTTGATCGAATTGATCAAGCGTAGGTGCTTACGCGTCTTGCCGCTCATTATATTTATTATTGCTCTGAAATTTGATATTTTATTATCGCTTTAGGTTTTTACGAAATATAAAAAAATAATATTCGTACCGTTAGCGCGAGGCCAGTCCGCTCGATGTCGCTGCGGTCCCGCCGTTTTCCCCCGGAGACCGCATTCCGCGAGCACACCGTACACGCGCACCGCTACGCCGCCGACACCGCCACGGGTACCGCGTTGCCAACCGTCTGCCCGTCCGCCACCGCCGCCGTCGTGCTGTGCCGCCGCCGCCCGACCCGTGTACCCGTCGAGTGTCGACTACTACCAGCAGTGCATTGTTCGCGTTCGTCGGACGTGGTACCGCGTCACCCGGTGTGCCGCGCGCGCGATTTTCAGCCATGTCATAACAGTGAAATAGTGTTTTTAGTTTAAAACGAAACATACGGACATGATTGTATGAAATAGAATAAAATAATTCCGCATCGCACTAGTTCGCGTGTGTGTTTTTCCGTGTGCGCGGGCGCGCGCGTCCGCGTAGATAAACCGCGAAGCGCGCGCGTAGATTGCCGTCGGGAACCGCTTTTCCCTCGGCGTTCGTCTGATATTCGGTCCGTTTTTTTCTTTTTTTTTTTTTCTCGTCTTTTCCCCCGAGTGCGTCGCGTGAACAGTGCGAACAGGGCACCGGCCGCCCCGCCGCCGGTGGCCAATCAATGCGTGCTGCCGTCGCCGCCTGTCGACGGCCGCAACACAAGGTATCGGACGTTACAGTAATAATAATACACGTTTTTAACATAATATTTTTACTTCACGCATTTTTAATACGGCACTGTTAATTAATTACCGTGTACGCGGTACGGATTAAATTACCGCGACTAGTCCATGGGCGTGCAAAACGCGTTGCGTATCTGTTTCCGTATAAAAAAAATAAAAAAAATTGTATTTTTACGCCATGGCGCTCGGACGGAGGCGGCCGTCGCTGTCGCAAAACCGGACGTGCCGCAGCTGCCTGCTGCCGGTAGCCGCGCGCCACCACCGCCGCGTCGCAACCGCAACCGCTACGGCGGTGGCGGCGGCGGTGGTAAAACGCAAGCGTTCGCGGACGTCTCGCCTCCTGTTCGTATAGTCGTAGTCGTCGACGCCGCCTATGATTTTAATGCCTTGGTCGTCTCCCCCCCATCCCCCCTCTCCAACTATTTTTCATTCAGTAAACACGCGCCGTTTCGGAATCGGGGTCAACTCGTTGCCGCGCGTTTATTATACTATATATTTTTAAAACATTATCCGTTAGTGTAAATACACAGTGGGTATTTAACACGGTAGCGATATTGTTGTCGGCAGTAGCAGTCAATATTGGTCGGTAAACGGAAAAAAAAAAAAACAAAAAAATAGAACACAATATCATTATGGGGTTGGGGGAGTCCCCCCCCCGAATAAAAACCCTACTCTCTACCTACAACACAATTCGGCGGCGCCGAGCTCCTCGGTCCCCCGTCCGCGCGGAATTCTGCGTCTGCGGCATTAATTACGTTGACGGCGCGACCGTAGCCGCCGCGTCGTCGTCCCGCAAGCCGTCGAACGCGTCGCCGCCGTCCCGCAAGCCGTCGAACGCGTCGCCGCCGTCCCCGCGCGGGCCGACTAACGAAATTTCGGTGCGGTAAACGTCACGCGCGCCGCCATCACCAATAATATTGTTAATGCCTTTCCGAAACGACCATCCCCTATGTCTCTTATGGTTTACTGGCGTCACCGTCGCCGCCGCTGTTGCTCATTAGCTGCTGCTGTTCTACTATATTATTGTTATTATAAAACTTCCGGTATTGTCTCGCAGAAGACTTGAACGTTTACGATTTTGTTTCCGAATATTTCTGCCGATACGCTCGACACGAGTACACGACCGATTCGCGCGTGTTGTTTTCTTCGTTTTTCGCAACGCGTCGCGGGAATCGGTACGTTCCCGTGGAAAAAAAAAAACCTATTTTGTTCTCTCGGGCACTTGTGGATTTGATTTATAATGTTATGAATAAACGCCGAAATATTTTGGTTTTGTAAAGGTTTTCATCCTGCGGGTAATAAACGCGCGTTTTGCTTAAATGCATTCTGCTACAGTGTCGCGTCGATTTAAATATGTCACGAGATGATGCGACACGACGTGACATATCGTTGGCGAACGCGCGGTAGGGGACGGTTTTTGGGGGGTTAAATCCACCTCGACCCGAAATATAACCTGATAGTTTGTTGGTAATTTCGAAACTTTGTCCTGCGTTCGCCCCAGTGAAATATCAAGCTTCTTATAAATTCTTAACAATTTTCTATTGCGACAATTTACTTAATGTAGGTATTTCGTATAGATTATTAACATTATTAATGTAATATACGAGTTAATTGTGTTTGGCTATCATATCGCCAACTGTTGACGTGAAATAAAAGTCAGGTTTCTAGTTAGAAACGGTTTTGAATTTTACTTAAACATTTTTCAATATAATTATATTTTCTGTTGATCAGTATAGAATTTGATATCGGATCTAGACTATTAAACCATATTACCCCTCCCCGAAAAATTATAAAATAAGATATTATTTTCGCGGTACGATTATTTGATCGACTTAAAAGCTGTTTGTTCTGGAATCTAAAAACAAGTTTTTTTGATCAGATATGAGAAAACGTTTAAATTTATTTTGAAAAAAAAAAATATTGAACCGCATTTGACTGGCTTTTCTTTGAAGTTTAATTACATTTAATCACATTTTACAAATTACAAGTCGCGCAATATACATTTTACTTTTATAATTTAAACTACAGACAGTTAGTAGAATTGAGACTTAAAAAGTTACCGTTAACTTAAAAAGGCTTAGGCGGTCACCATACCCAAAAATATATACTTGAATTGTATCACTTATACCAGTGGTAATAGTTAACAATGAAACTTAAATTTAATTTTTAAGAAATAAAATATACTTTTACAGGTCGCAGTAACACAATTACAGTATTAAACTAATTTACTTGTAAAAAAAAAAGGTTCTGGGTGGCGGGAGATCTTTCCGAATTCCTCTCTCCCCCTGTAATTACGCCGTTGGGAGAAACCGCTAGGATGCTTTCAATATTCGAAGAATGACCTTTTTAGTCTTTAACCGAACATAATACAGGTACCTATCTAATATATTACTCTCGCATTGAGGAAAAAACCTTTTTAGTTTGGTACACGAAAAACCCACAGGAAATTGTTATTTAAGTAAATCAAATACTATCCTACAGTATTTTTTTTTTTACAATTTCTTCGAAATCTATCGGGCGTTTGTAAAAGTGACCTTTTGAATATAGCATCTGTAATGTGTATTTTCCTATTCGTGAAGGAACAATACTTAGGTACAATGTAAATAATATTTTGCTCCTATCCGTACTATGTATGTCCATTATATAATCATTTCTGCTTGAAAAATTATTTCCGGAAAAAAAAAAAATTAAATAAAACGAGCGGAACTAATGGACGTCTCTCGGTCCTTTTGTAGGTAAATTACAATTTGCGTAAAATCATAATTAAGAATAAATAGTCAGAAAAAAATGTTTAATTATTTTGTCATCGCTTGTCCCAATAACATTATAATGTACTTTTTGATGCCTGCAAAATAATCGGTAATTTTGTTATAACTTTTTTAACTATAGTTATTTAAAAAATACATTTTTAAATTTTGCAAATTTTGTATTGTATGACGTCCGTTTACATATTTCTAATAAAATATTTTGATAAAAATTCTGGCGCGCTCGTAAAAAAATTAAAAAAATCTCGACGCTCATTGGATTTCTTCCGGCAATTTTGTTCAGATTCCGTGTTATTTCGGAAACTAAAACTAAAAAATAATACAAGTATTGTTGACATTATTCAATCAATATTCAATCAGTATCCACGTAAATTAATTTCGTTATGAATACGTGGTAATATTATTTTTAACGCTCGTGTTTTAATAATACTGATAATAATTAGTATGCAGAAAGAACAATAATATCGGTTTTCGTTGAATTCTGTTTTCGCTCGGTTTTCGTAACTCGTGTATGTTGTGTATTTAATTAATATAAAACATCAAACGTATAATAACGATGGTATTTAATCTAAACGCTTTTAGTCAAATTCAAAAAGAAAAAAAAAAATCAATTATATACATAGATTATCTGCATTTTAATTAAAAATAAACATGTTCTTTTAACGAACCCGTCAGGTATATCAATATGTTGTCAAATATACAAATATTTGTTTCTAAAGTCCATATCGATAAGTCATAAAGGAAAAAAAAATTAATTTTATTTATTATAAATATTGAAAAGCAAAAAAAAAGTCTGGGAAAAATAAATGAAAATAGAATGATTTTAAAATATATATAAAACATTTTCTAAAAAAAATTGTTTAGGGAAATATGGTAAAAAGATATGCAATGTGAATAATTTGACATAGTACCTGCATTCTTCAACTATATTTAATAACGATTTAATTTATACAGGGTGTCCCACAAACATATACTCATTGCAATATCTCATGAGGCAATAAAGATAATCAAATTCTGTTTTATTTTTTTTATATATTACTCGCTGGGATAAGGACTATAAATATTTATATTTGAAAAAACTAAAAATATTACTTTTTATTTTCGAGAAATTTGAAGAAAATTATTTATAACCTAGATTTTATTCTTGTGAATATTTTGACGTCTCAATTTTTTATTTTTATTACATTCGTGATTTTTAATAACTTTATAATATATTTATGCATCAGGTTGTAATTGCATTCACTAATTTATTACTAATCAATGATTAGTATATATATTATGGCTAATATTGATTGTACACTTTTTTTTTCTGAACTTTAAAAATATCATGAATTTAATTAAAATAAAAAAGTTGATACCATAAAAAATTCCGGAAGAATATATTAAATAAAATTGCTATCTTCAAATTTTTCAAAAATAATAACAAGTTATTTTTTTTTTTTGAGATTTTTACCAAAAAAAAAATTTATTGAATTTTAAATATTTGTATTTTGTAGTCCATGAAGATGTCCCTATGAAGATCAGGTATAGCTAAAACCGAATTTGATTTTCTTTATTATCTCCGGAGATATTATAACGGGTTTATCTTCGTAGGACATTCTGTATATTATACATAGTATATAGTGATTCTATAACGTTTTACAAATTTGTATATTTGTTGTTTTCGATGATTCGTATTAATTATTATATACTTTGCTAAGCTAGCGTACATTGTAATCAAACAATTGGTCTCGAGGAAGTCAAATTTTGTTTTTTTTATTTATTTTCTTTATAATTTTATACCAAACAATTTGTTGGTCTTTATTTTTGGTCTTAGTGGCATTAATACATGCATTTTAAAAATTAATGTATTATCTAGTGTTTAGTGATTGTTTATGTACTTTCAATATTTAATTTGCTCGTATTGAAAACTATATAGAATTTACTTAAACTCTTCTTTTCTGAGACCAAAGAAATAAGTAGGTAGGTACCTATATTTCTTATGGCCTGATATTTATCACAACTTATAAGTATGAATGATTTGTCGTTCTTTTTCTTTTTTAATTGTACATAATGATATTTAAATGCACACGCTACTAATATTTACGTAATTGCGTGTGACGGTAAATATGAAATGACGTATAGGTGGTAGGTTATTAAGTATATATATATATATGTATTTCGTATAATTCAAATAGCTTGACGATGATTCGTTATAATTGTATCGAATAGAAAAAAAAAACATACATTGTATGTACCGTCTATGTTTATTTTTTACGAATAGTCGTTAAACGAATATTGCATTTTTTAAATTTAAACATTTAAAACATACACCCAGCTAGGTTACAGTTTAATATGAGTTTTATAATTATGGCTAGTATCTTAATAATACTGTGTTTATTTATATAAAATTATTATTGATTGATTGATTGTGATTACATTGATTTAACAATATTATTGTATCATATTTCTTATAACTTTAATATTGTTGTAAATCTGATAATTTGGTGTTTAATTAAATAACTGATAGCAAAAAAAAAAAATTGATATTGATTATGGGTTGGCCGTTGTTATGGATGAATAGTTTGGAAGGGACAAGGGTATTTAATCAATGGCGGATTTTTAACATTTTTCAGGGGGCCCTGAAAATCATAAATTTCAAAGGTAATAGATTAGTAGATGCCTCTATTTAGACTATAGTTTATTAAAATTATATCGGTGTCTTAGGGGAGGTCTAGACCTCCTGCCCCTCTCTCTGTAGTTAAATTCACCATTGTACTCGTGTGTATGGCATAACTTAGTACGAGTAAGTTTCGTATATTGTGAACAACGATAAATCATTGCAAACGAAAAAACGATTTTGAATGGTTTTTTCTCTTGTAGCCAAAAATCTACAAAAGCCAAAAAAACAAAACCAAAATAAAAAACACCTTTGAGTGAAATTCTGAAAATATCGATGAATGTTTAAAATAAAGTAGGTACCACCGAACAGAAATTTTGAATCCTTCGAGGCGAGTTTTACGTATACAATTGGAGCATTTTTATTAACCGAAAAGTGTTTTTGGTGAATAAACAGTAAAACTAGCTTCTTAGCTATACTCAGAATATAAAACGTTCGCGAAAATAATTAGTTTAAAATAAAATAATGAAATCTGCCATAGTTTAACGTATTTGCAGCTTTTATTTAGGTATTTTATTAAAATAGAATATGTATTTTATAATTACATTGTATAACTATATCCAATCAACTTTTCCTATGTATTTTTTTTTTTTGAACTGTATAGGTAATTTTAAACAATACTAATAATTTTTTTTTGTTTTCAGATTTTATAAGTAAAATGTAATCGTTTTATATTTACATTGAAAAACATTCAATATGTCGTCTAGAAAAGGCACTGACATATTAACTAGTGGTGAGAATCAAAAACAAACTTCAATTACTGCTAAAACAAAACTGAAAAGAACATCTAATGCAAGTGACTCACCGCCAGGACCAATAAATTTGACAAAGAAAACTGTTAAAAAACCCGCATTAGCTCAAAAAGCCACAAAGCTCGATCAGAAAAATCCTAAACAATCGAAAATCGCTAAAAAAAATGAAAAAGAAAGCGAGGATTCGGACGAGAAAAAAGATTTAGTAAAAAAACCGGGTAAACAAAAGTTAAAAGAGAAATTGACGACAAAAACAGTGAAAAAATCAATTAAAGATGTTAAAAAAGTGAAAAATTTGACTTCCGGAAATAGTGAAAAAGTTGAAAAATTGCTCCCAAAACCAAAAAAACTTGCACTAAAGAAATCTGAAGATAAAGAAGAAAAAAAAACCAAAGAAAAAGTGCAGAAAGAGAAGGTCAAAGAAGTAAAAAAGAAACCCAATCCAAAACTTGTTAAAAAAAATGTCGATGAAATTGAATCTATAAAATCACGTGTAGATATAACAAAGCCAGAGAAAAAAGATAAACCTAAAAAAGGTAAAGTTATTGCTAAGAACAAGGGAAAATTAAATTTACCTAAGAAGATCTTAAATGAGGACGACAAACCTCCGATAGAATGTTTGGACGTGTTAAAAAATGAAAACCCGGACGATGTTGCTCTATTGCAAGTTTTTCAGTTAAAAAATGGCCCAGTTTGTGATTTTGATGGAGGCGTTTGTAATACTATTACAATAAGACAAGACAATACTTGTATAAAAATTAAGGAAATATCAGTTAGTCAATTACCCTATACAGTAAAAACAGAAGAGAATGAAAAAATAGATGTCACGTCAATGCCCATAAAAAAAGAATCCAAACAGAACCCTGAAAGTCAGACCGTTGAAAAGCATGATAAACCTGCTGATAAACCAAAAACTGAAAAGCTAAAAAGTGAGAAACTAAAAACTGAAAAACAAAAAAATGAAAAACAAAAACCCGAAAAACCCGAAAAACAAAAAATTGAAAAACAGAAAATTGAAAAACCAATCAAGAAAGTTAATAAAGTCGAAAAGAAAAAGAAGCCAATAGTAGTAGATAAAATCAAACCAAAAGGTAAAACAAAAGTTGTTCCTAAGCCTAAACCAAAAGGTAGACCAGTGTCTAAGAGACCTAGAGTTGCGTCTCTCAATGCCATAGCCAAAGTACACTGTTTGTACGAGAATGAGAGTAAAAGCGCATTGATTGACGCTATGGCCGCTTCCGCAGCTAGTACAATAAGCGCACCCTCTTCAAAAAAAAAAAGGAAAGGTTCAGACTGCGAAATGCCAGTTAGAAAAGGTAAAAGAACATCGAAAAGAACCACTCCAGGATTAAAAAGTGTAGGAAGACATTGGGATATGCATGATACAAGTTCTACTAACAGTTCCTCATCAGGTATTATTATTAATTCTTTGAATTTATGATAATGTTAGAATTTAAGAAAATGAAATTAGTTTTTTTTTGTTAAAAAATTGTATAATATTTTCACTGAGATACTACCTATAGACTTCATAAAAAAATTTCGTACGTTTTCGTAGTGGGATTTTACATTTTTAGGCTACACTTAAAATCTCATAGATGTAAGGTACCTAATAAATTTTGAAAGAATAACTGAATAATATATTTTATAATCCTATTCTAGTTTGTTATTTTTTCAATTTAGAAAATGAAGTCTGTAACGTATTAAAGATTAATAAAAACATTAATCTAAATTTAATGATACGGTTAGATAACTATCTTCGCTCAATTACATTAAATTAATTGACCATGGATATTTTAAATTTTAATTAAAAAAAAATTAAATAGAATGAAGTGTTAAAAAGATTGTACAATGTACACTATAGATTTTTTGTGTCGATTAAATGTAATTCGGTATTATAAGTTAGGTAACATCATATAGAATTCAAAACATTTGTTTGAATATTTTCCGTAAAATTGTAATTTATTTTACAGTAAAACTTCTATTTATATTTTAATAAAATACATTTTTATAGGTGTAGATGATGTTAAATATGAACCCCCGAAGTCGGCTAAACGTACAAAAAAGCAACCTATAGTGAAGCCGCCTGATAGTACAGACGACGATGAAGAAGAACCAGAAGAAGAACCTGTAAAGTCTCCAAAAGAAGTCACTTCACCAGCGGGTGGATCCAAGCGAAAGAGACGTAACGCGGATACTGTTACGATGGATCTAAAAGACATGGTCGTAAAAAAACGCATGGCGAGTCTGAACGCATCAGCCATATTGGCGGCCAGCTATTCGACAGAGAAGAAATTGCCGTCAACGAAAGTGCAAGATTGCTCGAAGAAGTCTACTACTAGTTCCGAAGTGTCGTCCGAGCGATCGGAGCCGGAAGACGACGCGGAAGACGAAGATTCCGACGGACATAGGACGTCGTCTACGATCCGCCCAGTGGCCCTTAAACCGGCGCCCTTGCCGCCCATTATCCCTCCCCCGTCGTCTCAACTCGCCGTTATCGTTAACCAGGACACAGACGTCACTATCACCACCGGTGTGTACGTCAACAGCACCACTCGATCTACGAGGCACGAGGAATTTTGCACCATATCTGGGCTCCAGTACCGGATATCCAGTACTAGTCACACACAAACCGAAGCCACGGCCGTGGCCACCGAAACACTATTGCACGCCGATCACGTGAGTGTCGCATTCTCGATTATAATATTTTTTTATTTGACCAATTATACTTTTAAACGTATCTTTATAAAATCGTCAAATAATTTATGAATCACTAAACGCAGAAATAGCACACGTGTTTCAATTTTAAATTTTTTTAAGGAAGATAAAAACCGTATAAAGCGTAACAATATTTCATAAAATCATCGTAGAAACTTGTATACACGATATCAAATACCATAACATTGGTTTAACTTGAAATTAATTTTTAAATTTTTTTTTGTCTTTCTTGAAAATTTTTTTGAAATTTGAACGTGACCTTTTTGCATTTAGCGATTCATATAAGTAATTGAAGCAATAGCGTATATAATCGAACTTGAAAAAAATATTTTTTTTCTAAACACAGTAACACACATTATAATATTATATGTACATGGCGAGTTGTAACGAAAAAATCTGCTGGAATTTAATTTATCATTTTTGTGATAAATTTCACTCAGTTTTCGTTTATGACGTTTAAAAACAATGATAAAATACTTCGAAAGCACAAAGAAAATAATCGGTTTTTTTTTTTGCTTTATGTTTTTGTTTGTCTATTTTCTTGTCCTCGTCCTCTTGTCTCGTTATACACATTCACTATTTGCTAAACGACAACATCCGGCCGTATAATATTGTCCGATTGTTGTCATTAGCTTTCCCTCGCAGAGCTTTTTATTTTGTTCACTTTTTTTTTATGATGCGGTTTTACAAAAAAAACATAACCATATATTTTGTATTATTCGGTTTTGGCCGTTTTGGGTGTTATTGTTACGAAATAGTTTGTGTTAAACGCGTAGTACACAGTGAATATTATTCCCATTTTTTTTAATATCAGAACTGGTTTCTTTGATATTATTATGTTGTTTTTGAATTTAAATTTATAATATACTCAACAGTTGGTTACATTTTTCGTTAACGTGGACTTAAAATGAATCTAATAAGTACAATAGTTTTAATTTATATCCAAGTATCAAAATCGTAAAATTAACATTATTCTTCGTACCCATACAGCATATTGTAGGATAAAATTAGTATTTTAGTTGTTGAAAATGTTTTAAAAATTAAATTAATCTTTATTTTTTTATTCGAAGAATTAAACTTGAATATTTTTAAGACTTTTAACTATACTTACAACACTGCAATATTGTCGACCCAATTCCTAATTGTCCTAACTCTAAACCACGGAACTGTTCGGAAAAAGCATATAACGTTTTCATCACCAAAGTCTCGACTCCAAAATGGCAATATTTTATACGGAGATCCGATGGAATTTATATTTTTTTGTGTTTTCATCAGCGGTTTCGTTTGGGAAAATATAGGGTTTAGTCACCGCTTATATGGCCACTCATTTTTATTTTATTTGTTAATAGTGTAATTTTGTAATTTGATATTCCATAAGATGGTTATTGTTCTGTTCATTCATTTATTCACTATTGGGTGATATCAATCATTAAAAAACGATACAGATAGCATAGGATGACCGTAGAACGAGAAAATGCAATTATAAAATATTAATGTGTCACTTCATTGATATTCTTAAGATTTTGACATTTAAACTGTGTATTGGTGAACTTACAATGTATTTTTGGTTGAATTTTGAATTTTTCTCAATAATCATAGGTATGTAAATTAAATCATCAAATATTAATAAAAAAATGTTCTTAGATATAGCCATGTAGGTAGTGACTCCGCTTTAATAAGAAATTTTTTTAGTCTGTGTGCATTGTCAATGAGCATAAAATCATATTTTTGGATATAGTATCGACACTTATTAGGGAATAAGACTGACCGTCCGTAGTTTCATGTTAAATATTTTGTAGGTTTCTACAATACCAAAAAAATTATGAGGTTATTAAAAAAAATCTTGTTTTTGGGTTATAATTTGTGTTTGTGTATTTTTTTCACCGATGTATAAACGAAAGAAACAAAAATAATTTTCGCGTTTCGAAAACGATAGTTAAATAGCGTCGTTATAGCGTTATAGCGTTTCCTATATATATACGTGTAAACACATTATACTTACGTGGATTCCTTTTTGTTTAAACAGTCCGTTTGTTTGTTATTAATTAAAAACTCCTAACCTCCTATATTAAATGCATTACGTGTCTGTAAGCTTACTTGACGTAATCACTGGCGGCGGCCAACTTTTTATTCGAGTGCTGAAATTAATCGTTATTATACTGCCAGTAGTGCCCTGTATACGACTCGCGGAACCAAATAATAATAATAACAAAATCATAATCTTTGTTTTAATTAATTCATATATATATACATAAAAAAACAAAAAAAATAACAATTTTCGTGATTTCTAGAGAATTGTGTTTTTTCTCTTTTGTAAAACGTACGTTATAATAATAATAATAATTATTATACTTACGTTTCTACGTCGGTTGTTGGGTCAGACGTTTTTTTTTTTTTTCATATTATATAGATGATTTAAAATTTTATATTATACGTTGAACAGAAAATTTGGGATAAGTTTAACCGGGAGTTTTTTCCCTGTCCGTTCGTAACAGCGTGGTACATATATTTATACAATACGCGTATTTTTTTTTTTTACTCCATCGCTTAACATTTTTTTTTATGAGTCATCGCGCGTTTAAAAATCCATTTTTATCAACGGACGTATATAACTTCATTATTAGTGCAGTTGTTTTGTTAATGGAATTAATTATTTCGTATAATCGACACAAAGAATAATAAAGTATGATATTCCGAATGACATTATATTTAATAAAATAACCGTAATTATGTATTAAAAAAAAAAAAAAAAAAATAATAATAATAATAATGAAAACGTTGTGACGTAGATATTGAGATTATTTTTTAGAACAATAAAATATTATATTTATGACGTACATTTTGTTTTAAAGCTTAATCGACGTGTATGTATTGCGTTAATCGCGAGGTATCCGAATAATAATTTCTGGCCAAGACAGCCGTAAGCTTAAACTTAATGAAAAATTTAATTAAACTCAGTTATAATAGTTGTATTCTCTTAGCGAAAACAACTTTATACAATTTGACAAAAGTAATTATTGTTGTTATTTATAAAACACTATATTGTTGTATTTTTATTTTATTTTTTTAATTTTTAAGACAAGATTAAAAATCTGTCTGGAAAATGGAGAAAAATCAAATTAACTTTTCCTCTTTATCTTATAAAACCGTGAAATTGTATCTTTTAAATTCCTGAATAACTGTATATACCTACTGCAGATTTCCGGATAATATATTTTCTATAAAACAGATTTTGCTCATGGATTCGAGTAACCCATTTATATATAGGTACATATTTATGGTTTTCAACGGATAATGCATACAAGTTTAGCAATCTAAAAGAATTTGAACTGTGTATTTATTATCATTATGTCCCCAGCTTGTTTTGGCAAAATACCTATATAATATACGAGTGAATAATTACAAATTTATTGCCGTCATTTCAATATTTGGTAGACTGGCGCAAACTTTGTCGACTGACAAGGAATAAAAAAAAAAAAAAAAATAACTTCAATTCAATAGGTATTTCAGATTTGCATATAATCGCGAAGGAATAGGTAAATATTTTCAAAGCATTTAAATTCTATATTTTAATTTAAAAGTAAATAATTGATGATAAAATCGGTCGGATAGAGTAGAATATTCGATCACGGATTATGCTTATTCGCGATGCCGTACGAACAGAATACGAAACATGAATAAATTGTCGATACTTCGAAATTATTTCTCCGGACTCAAAAACCAATCAAAATGGAAAATGACCTCCCCCCAAATAACATCATCGTATATATACATATTATCGAAAGCGGTAACCGTGATTTTCTTGTTATTTCGATACGTTTTATGCTGCAGTATATACGTTATTTTAAGCGTCGAAAAATAGAATTAATGTCTATGTTCGTTCTGTGTTACAATATTGTGTAGACTATTGGCGTTTTGCCACAGGCGAAGGAAAAAAATAAAATTTAAATACTTACAGATTTTTACAGAAATATTTCCAGAGTTTATTCGCGCGGTGGTTGTCATATTCGAATACCACGGTAATAATGAGAATAATGATGTTTATTTTTAATTTTCAGAATTAATAACGGCGCGTCCGCTTCGAAAACATCTTCCATTGTTAAGTAATACCCAACCTGTATAATACGTATATTGTATAACCTGTCGGGTTTGATAAATTCGAGATTATTATGACATTTTTTTCCAAAAATACGTATCCCCAGCGGTGTCAAAATTAATCAGATACGTGCGAAATCAGTGTTGTTAACGTTTCTTTGAAAAATAATTCGTTTCTATTCTTGAGGAATCATAAGAACAATTCTTATTTCAAAAAATAAACTCGTTCCCGTTCCTCGTTACTTAAAAAACAAAAACTCGTTATTTATAAAAGCATTCCTTTATGAATGCCTAATGCAGTCCGAAAATAATTTTTTTTATAATCTTAATTTGAAAATATCGCTAATTAATTCGCTTTGGAACACCAAGTCGTAGGTTAATAACAAATGGCTGGAAGAATCTCATCTATTAGATTCAAAACACGATAAGCGAAATTTGTCTTCCCAAATTTCAGAGATTCTTTTCTTTCTTCTCTTCTCAAAAGAATTACAATAATTACGTTCCTATGCCTAAAAATAAGGAACTAATTCACGTTCCTATTCCTTTGAAAAATAGTATAATTAATTCCTTCATTCGTTCCTATAAAAAGGAATCACTCCTTTAGGAACGCGTTTCTTAACAACACTGTGCAAAATATCGAATATTCACTCGGATTATATTGTAGTTTTGTATAAAAAAAATAAAAAATAATTTTTATTGTATTAAAATCCGGTCGTTTTTCGTGGTGCGGAGGGGGGGGACACTACCCTGCGCGCTACGATTTATCTTAGAAATAATGAATACATATCCCCCCTTCCCTTCTACTCAATGAAAATTCCTGTCTACACCGCCGACTATACATTCTTATCCCCTCCCCATATCCCCACCCCTTTGATATACGTTTCGCCGTATCGTCTATCGCTCGTTGGTACCTACCTATGTATAGGTATACACTCGTATGATATAATATAAAATAATCTCACAACAGCCGTCCCTTTTGAATCCGTCCCAGACTGCACACATCCTTTTATATGCGGCGCGCGCACATAACGCATAACACGGTCGTGTTATGAGCGTAGGTACGGGCCCTTTAGGCGCACCTCTGTTTTGTTTGTGGAAAAACCACCTGCGGCAGCAACGACGGCGGCGGCGGCGACGACGACGGTAGTCGAAAATCGGTTAGCATAAAATCGCTGCTGTTATCAATTAACCCTTTTACTAGTAACCGGAAAACATAAAAAGGGTCAAACACACTCTCTGTTTACAAACCAATTACTCATGTACTATACGCGCGAAATCGAGTATAATATAGTATTACAATAAGCAAACAAGGTATTATTATTATTATTATTTTTTTTTTATTTTCGAAAATCAAATATACTCGTAATGTATACCGTCGCATTTCGGAGACCGATATAAATTACCGCCACGTACGAAGTTATTATTCCGTAAACTCGAATAATAAACCTCAGCATTATTGTGTGTTACATATATTATTTGCGTGCAGTAGGTATACGTGTCGGTTTTAAATAAGAGTTTTTTCTCTTGCAAAACTCCCCTTGTACCTATCCGTGGTTATTTCGGGCGTGTATCGACTGCTCCCCCCCTTCCCCTGCACCGGTTTACATGTTGATTCTGCCTACTGTTTATAAAATAACAATCGATATATATACCTAATATTATCAGCATATTATTACAGTAACACATTTGTACCGTTTACAAATATTTCGTCTATTGGGACGGAGCAATTTGAAATTGTTAAACGGAATACACGGTGTATTAAAAGTCTTCATCCAATTTCAAAAATGTATATTTATATTAAAAATGAAGATATAAGGGTGAAATAAAGTAAAATATATTCTTAAAATAGTCAAGTTTTATTTAGTTTGGTTACAAATGTCAATATGACCCCCACCGGCAAAAAAATGGACCGTAAACTTTTTCCCTGGAAATTGCGCAGAAAACATTGATTTTTGGTGAATCTCTTTGATGCTCAACAGTTGCGTGTGATTGCTCTGAAGCCCAAATCATGACATTATGGCGGCTGACTTTTCCACTTACATGAAATGTGGCTTCGTCCGAAAAAACAATGCGTGAGACAAATGACTCATTTTCTCCTCGTTTTTCGGATATGAAATTGCAGAAATCANTTCAATGTCAAACGACGTCGTAGAACACGCCAAACGGTCGAATGTGGGAGATCTAGCTCTAGGCCTGCACGACGTGTAGACTTCTGTGGACTTCGAACGAAACTTTGTCGAACACGCTCGATGTTTTCGTCAGAGGTACGAGGTCGACCTGAGCGTTTCTGTGCACACAGACAACCACTTTCTTGGAACGTTTGGTGCCAACGTCGAATGCTTTGAGCAGTAGGAGCTTCAGTTCCATAAGTTCTTCGAAAATCACGTTGAACGGTTATTGCCGACTCACACTTATTAAAACGTAGGACGCAAAACGCTTTCTGTTGCGGAGTCGCTATAACGAAACAATCTAACGGTTCCTTGTTCACTAAACATTACGGTGCCAAATTTATCAACTAGATAACGTAAAATAAACTTAGTTATCTAACCTTTACAAGAATACATTGATCATTAACCTGCGATTAACCGTTGCCGAACTATATCAGTTCGTAATCGGATGAAGACTTTTGAAACACCGTGTATAACAATATTTTCCTAGTTAAAACCGAGTAAATCTTCGTTTTCAACAGTTGCAATTTTCCGGCGACGTTTTGTTTTTCGGTAACGTTAAATATGAATAGCGACAAGATCGGTACAAATATTGATGTCGGTGTACAGTATACATTATATACATCAGTACATTAGTAAATAATTTAGATTGATATTTTGTTATGAATTAATTGAAAATCACAGTTCTTGGGTACATAAAAATATATGGAAATAAAACATCACAATAATATAAAATAATGCGAATGTTATGTAATTAGATAAGTATACTTACAGATTATCTATAAATTGTATTTTTGTATACATTTTTTTTTTAAAATGATTATTGTTAATTCAAGGTTACCTTATATTGGCTGTGTAATCTACAAATAATCAGCGGAATCAACATGTATAAAAGTTCTGCGGATTCGATATTAAAACTACAGAATCGATAAAAACATTATTATTTTAACACTGTTTTCGAATCGTATTCTCACGATGATAATGTGTACACTAAAATTACATCTACTTTTTATTTTTCGATTCGGATAACATTAAAGTTACATTTGTGAAGTTCTCGCAGTTTTGTATTGTTCTTTGTATAGTTATTGTTTTCCAGAATTAGTGAGTGTATTTGTTTATATAGCTGGTGTACGTGCAAGTTATTGATATATATATATATATAAATTTGGAAAATAATTTAAATGAAAGTCAAGTTTCAGCAATTATTTATTATAGTGACTGCAGTAGTATATTCTCCATTAAATATTTCGTATCAATTTATCACCTTTAATAATAAATAAACAGAAATAACTTTAACATAAAATAATCTCTCGACTATATACCATTTTACTAATTGAAATGTTCAAACTTTGTGAATTGTGACTTATTGTGGGTATATTGTCTTGGAAGTTTATCTTTAGGTTTAGTTTCTATATACGTATATGCCGGACGAAATGGATACTCAGTGTAAAGTTTGTTCGCGTATAAGAAAAAAAAAAGTTTCAACCGGAATTCATTTCGCTATCGCATAGTGTTAAAAAATTAAACATACATATTTATTATGTAAAAAAAAAAAACATATTTCAGTGACTATAAGTAGGTACTAAAAAAAAACTCGTCGAAAAATTGTCGTACGATAAAAATAAATTACGTAAATTCTCGTTTTTGATTCGGTATTGATTAACTTTTTAAGTTAATATTGAAATGCGGGTATATATAGAAGCTGTTTATCCCATTCTCAAAGATAGTATTTAAAGTTTGTTAATAGGATAAATAAACAATGTTTAGTACTGGTTTTTTTTTTTTTTTTTAATTAACTACCGTTGGTTCACAGATTTATAATAAAGTTGAACCGACGAAAAAAAAAAAACGAAAGTTGTACACAGATGTATTTTAAACGATAAACGTAGAACAATCTTTGTACATCTTGTAATTGATTTAACGATTTAATTTTCTTTACTCTTATAATAAATTATTTTGGTTTTTAATATTTAATTCGCGTATGGTCAGGCGTTTATTGAGATAAATAGGTCGAATTATTTTCGGTGTATACCTGACCGTAAACGAAGTTCAATGTTTTTATCTGAATGACTTATTATTATTATTATGTTAATTATTGTATTGTGAACGACTCGTGTACATGCATCATAATGTGATGTCGATTTTGTATTATCGAACTCGTTTACGGTTTTAATTAATTAGGTAAAAAATAAAATAAAATAAAAATATTAATAATATACTATTAAAACGGCGATTCTGCGTTAGTCGAAAAATATCGTAGACCGTTTTTCAAAATAATATTGTAACAGTATATTATATTTATTGTACAATTATAATAATACAGTGATTGACTTATTTTCGATTTACAAAGAAACTTCGAGTGAAAAAAAAAAAAAAATTTAAGTAAATAATAATAATCGTCGCAGCGCAGTACTATACGGGCCCGAGCGGAAAAAAAAACCGTCGTTCGGCATACGTACAATAATATAAAGTCTATGGTAAATGTTTTTTTTTTTTTCGACTGTTATGATTAGTCGTAAAAGTATTGTTGTCCCGACGTCGTCGTAGACGTCGTAGTGGGAACCCTTAGACCGTCGTTGTGTATATTGGACATTACCGCGTTTACGGTGCACAATATATATATATATATATACGTATACGTATAATATAATGTATACCGCGAGTGAGACTCGGGTCGATGCGGTCGTCCGCGGGAAAGGTCGATGACCCTTTCGAACATTACACTGCCGCGGTATTATACATACATATTGTATTATATAGTACGTATACGCGTATATAGTAGCGGTGATGGTGGTAGTAGCAGTGGTAGCGGCGGTAGCAGTGATAGCAGCGGCAGTATAGAAGTGTCTGTAACCCGACGAGGCGTCCGCGTCTCGTCGCGCATACGAAAATCATTTTCGGATATCCGTTTCTCCGGCGGCGGCGGGCGTGAAATCGACATCATCCGACGATGATCCGCGGCCGCTGCCTTCGATGTGCCCGGTGTGTTATCGGTGTAACTTCGCTCGAACGGGCGCCGCCGTGCCAACACAGTGTAGTGCCGCTATCCGGCTGTTGTTGGATCGTCGTCGTCTGTGCGCGCCGCACCGGTGGCGGGATTCGATTTTCGAATCACCGCACGTAAAATCAAAGTCCGTCGAGATCGGGAGGGGGTGAGGGGGTGGGAACGAATGAATATTTCATAAGTTCTTTTTTTTTTTATTCCCATTTTCCGACACCGAATTAAAGAACGCGGGGGATTATTAATATTATTTACACGATCGCCCGCGTGTAATAATATGTGATCCGAGCCGTTATGGACACGCTCTCGTTTGACCGCGTGAAGCGTTCAATACGCTGGCGGGGTTTGTTTTTTTGTCTTTCCATCAGTAATAAACCGTTCGGTTAGGAAAATTATATTACATTTATTAAATCCAATCACTTGTACGGGATTCGATTTCAAAAATTTACACTGCATTGTAAAAAGAAAAAAAAATAATAATACGCTGATATTGCAGCCAACAGAAAGAGCGTGGCACTATTTTTGAAGGAAATTCGGAAGGGCGGCCCGTTCAGAGTGATTTAATTTATACCATCGCTATCGAAAAACGATTCCGAGCCGACTCTCGTATTGTTGGTCGTGTGCGTTTCCTCGTCGTCATGGTAAACAATTGCCGTCGTTTTCCCACCTTTAAACAGTTCTAAGGAAAATCTACAAATGACTCTTTCAATGCGCCATCAACTAGACCGAAAATGTTACAAGAAAATGTCTATACGATATGTTTGATCGGAGCGAGATTTTCGGTAGAACTGACGCATCGTTGTAATAATATAATAATATACGTGTTGTAAAACCAACATATTTCTCGCCTCGCTCGGAATTTAAAATGAATATTTCATAAGTTTTTTTTCTTCTAACCCCAAATTAACGAACGCCACTCGGTCAGGGATTTTTTTACTATTATTATTTACACGAGTGTACATAATTTATACAATATAATAATAATATAATACGTATAAACAGTTCGGTGTTTTGTGATTAATAACCCGCGCCGCGTCGTCGTCGTCGTCGAGTAATAATTGACGTTTAATTCGTCGGTTTATAAACACACAGGGGGCTACCTCTGCTGTACAGTTTCCCTCCTACTCCTCCTACACTGTTTACTGTACAGCATATATTATAATATTAGTGGTAAAGGAACTCTAATTATCATAAACTAATTAACATGTTTGATTGCACGCGCGCGCGAGTCGTATAAGTAAAACGGCGTGCATGTGCCGCGACTGGTTTGCGGTCTACGGTTTGAATTAATACGTATTATTATTATTCTTATATTATCCGACACCGAGTCGGCTTTATTGGGCCGACTTGCTTATTATTACGTATTATATCGGTATAGTACATCGGTACACGACAATGTTCAAACGGTTTGGTTTTGTCGATAATATACGGTCATATTGTGTTATTATATGCTAGAATCTCAACTCCCATGTTCCGGGAAAAAAAAAAAAAAAAAAAAAAAATGGGGGAAATGAGTTAGCGACATTGTTCCTATATAAGATTTTTGAAAACGAATTCGATCCGGCACGTTTCGAAACGCACAAGAATCAGGTCTAAATTTAATCGAAAACTAGCGTGTTGTTTCAGAAATAACAAGTTCCATTGGAACATGTGAGTTTTTATTTACCGAATTCCGTTTAACCCGTGTCAAAAATCAATTGATCAGTAATAAATTATGTATATTTTTTAATAAATAAATTTTAAAATTCGTATTCCATTTTAACTATTATCAAAACTAACATGTTCCAAACATTAACCTCGAAAAAATATATACAAATGACGACTAAAATCTTAACTTTTAGTGACAAGTTTGAGTTTTTTTTAGCTTAAATTGCATAAGAAAAGGGGTAAAAATTTGTATTTTGTATTTCTTTAGTGAAATCTTTTCAATTTTATTCGTTTTCTAACAAATGCAATTTTTAAAACATGCGAGTTTTAGGTTACTCATATAACATTTTTAGATCTAAAATGTTTTTTTTAGATTCTGAACGAAACGAGAAATATATAGGTTTTACTTTAATATTATGAAGTGTGTTTTTTTCCTTGGGTCTGTATACTACTTTTCTACCAGAATCTCGTTCCGATCATCAGAGTTTAGTGGTAGTTTTTGGTGGCGCATTGTGTATATTCGGTGAGTCGAGGTCATGAAAAACGAGACAATTTTACGCAATAACGGTTTTTGTTATTTTCGATTTTTTTTTTGTTAAGTGTTAATTAGTTAAAATTAACCATGAAGACTCGACATTTTCACAGAATACTTATAAACTTCTCCTTCTAAACGTGGAAAATGTTTAATACATTCTGACGATTTTTAAACTTTTCATACTCATTTTAAATTGTCGACTTTTATAGTTCTTATTTGAATTAATGTGGGTAAAACTGTTTTGGCCTAGTAAAAATGTTTGGCAATTCAACACGAAGTTTATCATACAAGTTGTATGCTTAGTGATAAAAAAAAAAAAAATTGATCATGATGTAGTACCTAATTGTTTTTCATGTAAGCGTTTTAAGTTGAAATTTTAATGCAAATAATTACGTTATAATAACGACATTTCAAAATATGCTTAATTTTTCTCAGAATCGTTTTACTTTAGCAATGTTTTATCATCGCATTCAAATATAAAGTAAATAAAATTACCTAATAAATTAGGATTTATATTCTATTTTCTCAAATTTAAAAATACTTGTTTTACATAGAATTATTTACGGAAATTTACGGTAATTTATGTATTATCTATGGATAAAAGTGTGGCTAGTAATTATATGTTTTCTTTTTCGGTGCTTTAGGTACGTAATACAGTATTTTTATATTATACATTGTCACATAATCGGTTTTAAAGTTTTGATGTGATTTAAATAATATAATGTCGAGATAATCTTCAGAAAAACACTTATGAAGTTTACGCATCTCACTATATTCATATTATTATTATTATTTGAATATCACATTTAGGAGTTAAAAAACACTATAACAAGTCACTTTGGTAATTAAAAAAATAAACTATTGTTATGAAAAAAAGTAAAATAATAAGTGTTTTAATAATTAATTATAACTTGAGGATCATTTTAATTTTACGATTTAGTTACTTAAAAATTTGAATTTTTTTTTTAATATTCGTATGAATATTTTATTCATGTATTTCGTATTAATATTGACTCTAGTTTGATAAGAGAGCTGGTATAAAACATTAGTCCAGTCTCTCCACCATATTGTCAAAATCAATATTTTTGCAAATTGTACACATTATTATGTAATCTATTTGTAAAACATACACAGCTTTTTCCCGCAAAATGTTTTATTTTTATCAATCATGCATGGTCCGTTTGTGAAACTAATATTAAGGCATGGAAAATAAGAGTCTTGGCTATTTAAATACGGTTTTATCGGTGCCATAACCAGACATTTTGTTCAAGACAGTCTCCTTAATAAGCTGCAGGGTGCATTTTTTTTTTTTACAGAATAATTTGTTTTTGTTTGATAATAACTAGTTTAATAATTACTTATATAAAATGTTCACGTTGATACCTTCGAAAAGTTAATTATTTTTGTATAGTTTACATAAAACACTCGAAAAAAGAAAAGAAAAGTATCTGTAGAAATAAATAAAAAAAAAATAATGATATTATTTTCAATACTTTTTATTTTGCATAAATTTATATACTTATCTACCTATCAAAGTTATCAAAGTTAAGAATTTAATTTTATTATTCACCCTGATAAAATGCGGGGTATATAAGTTATTACATTCTATTCCAAATTATCTATTTCATATAATCGCAGTCCTAATTGAATCTAATCTATACAACGAGTTACCGAAAATTAACCCTTTAGCTAAGACAATATCCACTATAGGTACTGATTTTCCAGTTATAGAATCGACAAGTATTCTTTAAAGTTCTTCCGTTAAAACGTTCTGATTGATATAAATATTATTTTAATATAAGTGTGGAAATCCTTCGCGTCAATCGTTCGTTCATTTCGATATTTACATAAACAAATACATCTTCAGATGATGTTTACCAAGGAACCTGTTCAAATCCTATAAAAACAACGGCACAATATCATGTAAAAAAAAGAAAAGAAGAAAACCATCTAAATGTTTTATATTACTTTACTCAAGAGACTGAATAAACGTTTTGCCTCCCACCAAAACAAATGTTTAAAAAAAAACTTGTAACGATAATTTGTAATAATGTATAGGTACTATTACTGATATGTAGATGGCAAAATTAAATAATTCGATTGACGATTGTTACAAAATATTTTTCTAAAATAATATCTTATGATAACTAGAATGGTTTTTGATAACTGCCCTGGTTTTCTAGAAATGGAGTGTTTTGTATCACTGTTAAGTCCCAGTACGTAAAACTTTGATTAATTGCGTTTCTTTTTTCGTTTTTTTTTTTTTTTTTGTACTACTAATTTTATCTTCTATATTATTATGCTGTTATGAAAGTAACACTTTATATGTTTTAGAATTGTTGACTTGCAGTCTAATTACTTTTAACAGATGCTGTTGTTTTTAATGGAATTATTAAAAAGTTACATTTTCTTTTTTAAATTAAGATACGAATCTAAGGTTTTACTATATTGCAACTAATGTATACGTCACAAATGAATAATACGAGTATAATATGGTCCAAGTTTATTTTTACTATTTAATCCAACTCCATGACATTGCGTATATGTATGTAGGTATATATAGTTTTTATGTTTTCTTAATGATTGCGCTTAGAATCACAAGAAGTGTATTTTAAGTGCACTCACCTATTGAGTTGATGAACTCGTTTTCGACAGTAGTGTTGTATGAGTAAAATCGTATACCTACAAAAAATTACAAAAAAAGTATTGTTTGTATTTATATTTTGTTTTTTCGTAAAAATAATTAAAATTTACGTCTTTATTATTATAATATTTGCTTATGCTTTGTAATAATAGACATCTAGGATATATTATTTACGTATAATATTGCGTTTATAATTGATCATGCTGAAGATTGTACATTCAATTTTTTTTTTAATTTTAATTTATTTCATTCGATTGTATATTTTTAGGACTAGGTGTACATGTTTTATTTATCGACAGTTCAATAAATAAGTAAAGGTACGTTTTGTGTATACACTGCAGTATTCTTGTAGATTTCGAATGATCGGATTTGCCTAATCTATTTATCTTCAGGGTTTGGTGAACACGTTATTTATGGTCAGTTACATTCGGAGTGGCTTGCTGTACGATATTATAGAAAATCTGGATATAAAATGGCTATAGGGATATATATATATAAAAGGTCGAACCAAATAATATATTCATAGATTGAACGAACTCCTTTTGCAAAACCGTTTAGTTATTGAAACTCTTATGTATTTTTAAAAATGCCATTTTTCTTTTTTTAAATTTAAATTTATTGTTCTTGAATATATAATAATGTAAAAATATTTCGATATTTTAAATCCGTTATATGATGGTTAGTCAAATATTTGTTCAGTAGTAGGTATTATAGTAGGTATAGTATATCTATGAGATACGTAAACAGTTTTTGATAAAATAATTATATTATTGGAATTTGAATTTGAAAACTGGTATATTATCGTTTGAAAATCTTTTTACTAAACTGTTTCTAAGACGAGCACACGTTTAAAAGTTTATAAGCCGGTACCTGTATTTGTTTTTTTTTTCCCAAGTCAATAAATATTCCGAAATAAAGAGTGTATAATAATTAATACTTTATCCGAGTTGAATCGTATAGACACACTCAACTTTTTTTTTTCGCTAGACGAAATTATAAAAACGCATATTTTTCGTACAATAGATGCACCTTAAAAATTATATTATTCAATATAGGTATACACGTTATAATGTGTTTGTAGATTTAATTAACTTGAAAGTACAACGATTTGTATTAAACAGTGTAAATTATTTTTACACTCTATGTTTTGCCGAACATCGAAACACTTGAGCAGTGCAAGTACAAAGTTTCATGGTTTATGGATTTCACTGTATATGATGAGTATAATGAAATTTCAGGAGTTGCCTATATTTATAATGTTAACCTTTGGATGCAGTTGGCTTTTATAGCTTATTTTTATTGTACCCGATAAGTATATAATAGATATATAGTGACGAGTAACTGCAATAAATCAGTATAAAATACATGATCGACGTTTTAAAAATGTTTACGAGTATCGCGTAAAATAAGCTCGGCTTTTAAATAAATTCGTTCGCAATGAGAAAAAACAAAAATACCACGGCGCGAGTAATTTACGTTTATTTCTATTTTACTACACTTACCTACTATTATTTATTTATTTATTTATTTTAGAATTGTTATTGAGTGTAAGGAGATCAGCATTGAAATGTTAACATTTTCTTATTGCACATTTTTTCTATTGTTTTTATTGTTTTGTTTTTTCTCGGTTATCGACTATCGAAACATAAAATAACCAATAGTGTAGTAATCCATTTTGTCGGATTTAAATTATACGAGTACTGTATACCTATTGAAAAAGTTGGCAAACGAAACTTTTAATCATTTTCACTACCAAACTCGAAATGTGCTGTGAAAAAAAATCACCCGTCACTTTCCCTTCTAGGCCTTATTTTTTTTAAAAAAAAACGTTTTTTGTTAGTACAAATAGCTAAAGTAAGAGAATTACTTAAAATAGTCTTGCACTAACTGTTGTGCGATTTAAATTAAACAATTTATATTATAATTTGTACAGATTTCGTTGTATCAGGTTTAAGTTCGAAACGGATAATTAATTAATTATTCTTGATAAGTGTGTCAAAATTTCATAATAATAATATATATATTTTTTTTAACGTACCAATTATTTTTGAGCCTTGTCAGAATAGGGTGTTAAATATCTAATAATGACTAACAACGGTTTTATCTAACGTTATTCGTTTGAATTGTACGTCGTATTAATGACTATTTTTTTTTAACGTTAACTGCATGGCGATAATGTCGCTTGTCATTCTTTATCGTGACATATATGTATGTATTATGATTTAAAGGTCCCTATCGTTCGAATTCAAATAAAATGTTTAATCTAAATTAATTCGATTCTATGTTATCTATCAATTTAATGTTTTCGATTTGATTATATTCAAAAACCATTAAATCTGTTTGTATACTGAGTTAATGTTCATCAAATTATTGTATTGTTCATTAGATGATTATAGACACAATAGGTAATATTATAGCTTTAGAAACGAGGATGTCCAGTTTTAATTATCTATGTATTATAATAACACGAAACCACAACGATTTTATTATTATTGATTTTTTTTTAACCGTGTGGCATGCAATTTAGAAGCTTTCTTGTTACAATGAAAAAAGCCTGGGCACACCGTGGGTAGGCTATTAAAGATGGGGAGTTTTTAAAATATAGGGTGTAGGGTAATTTATGTTATGTACTGAAAGCAGCGATAAATCATTACAATTAAAAAATGTTTCTGAGTCAAGATCGGTAACTTGGTCTGGTAAAGTTTGTTTCTCTTATTACGGTACCTAGTCAACTTAATTAACATAAAAGAAATCGTAAAAATAAAACCACCGTATCTTCTTTTGTTGTCAGTTTTTTAATATTTGTTAGAAAAAAACTGTTCGGAATCGAGAAAAATGATTTAAATAAATATTACTCCTGAGCGAAAATTCTCATTTTTTAAATTACGATGTGAGCAATTTAAAACACTCATTTAACTAATCTTCAAAAGTGATAATAAACCATCTCGGGAGTGAATTGTCGAGAAGTTTAAAAAATTGTTCAAGTATTATGTATCACTGCGTGAAAAATCGTAGCATTTTTCTATTTATTAGGAATAAATACCCATGTTCATTACTATTATGATTTTAGTAGCCAGTTTATATAAAGTTATGGATTATAATATAGGTACTTATCTCATAATATATTTTATAGTTTATGCTTTATATAGTAATATAATCTTAATACTCGTATATAAAATTAATTTGATTTTATATATTAATCGTGATCTAATAGTTATAAAAGTTATTAATTAAAACAACATATAAAAACAATATTTATTGAACGATATAGTAATTGTATATCTAATCGTAAATTCTGAATACGCACGCGTTATTCGCCTAATTAATAACCCGATAAAGTACCTATAGTAAATTTCAAATAATTAACGCATAATAGTATTATTATTATCGTCCGATGAGCTATAGGTTTTCTACCTAATTTCTATAATACATTATTACATAATATCGATTAAATTATCTTTCCCCGTAGGTAATAATGTTTTAAAACTTTTTTTATTTTTCGGTCGGGTTTTAATATCATGAATTATAAAATATTTACCTTAACATAATATTTTGTCAAACCCCGACGTTTTTTTTTTTTTTTATTTTTTATTATAACTCGGAGAAGGCGTGTGTTGGTTTATGTTGTGCTTTTCATATTTTTATTATATCGTCCCTTATACACCAAAATTGTTTATACACGTTGATTGATAGGGTCGAGCCGCGTGAAAAATTCAAAGCGTGAGGAAAGGTCGATAATATTATACAAACGTTGTCGATTATCTCTCTTTATAAATTACCTCGCGGCGGTGTTCAGAGAATATAAATGCATTTTAAAAAAACAATTGTTTTCATTTTGTGTGAATAAAAAAATTCCACTCAAATTACTATAGGTAATCTATAACTCTCTTGCGTAGTATAGAAATGATAATCATTAACAATTGAATATTCGAATAAATAATAAATAGGGCAGCTGCCAGTTATTTATACACTTTTCCATATTGGTTGATGAAAAAAATGTATGTATAATATATACAATATACTAGTTAATGATAGTTTATGCCAAAATGTATTTCGTGACCTAACGATTCTATACGACATTTTATTTTCCGTATTTCGGCGTTTTTAGATTTTTCGGGTTTATTTAAGAATTTCGTACATTTCTAACTCAACAAATCGAGAATTACACGATAACAATTCGAGATTTACAAACATCAGCCAGGGAGCAGATCATTTGATTGTCAGAACATATTTTCAATTATTTTATGATAAAAAAAATATGAAACATTTTTGATAGGATTAATATTACAATAGGTAATACAATCAAATGTTCAATTTCATTTTCTGAGCAAAATGAGATTATTATATTATTTCTTAGGTATATTTTTTTTTTAGTGCGTATCTGCATTCATATTAAATGGTTTTTTAAGTCGTAGGTATTTAACGTCTACCTAAACAATAATAATAATATTATATTCGAAAATAATACATTCAAATTATATTCATATTCTTATTGCGAGTACGTTTTTTCCTCGGCTTTAACGTTTTGTTTACCGTATAGTGGGTATTTGCACACAGCATCACGAGTACTTATAATAAATCATGGACTTTTCTTCGGTTTGTGTCTACATATAGTACATAATATAATATACTTTGTGTAAAAACGGGTCGACCAAATACGTATTTATTTTTTTTTATTTATTTTTTTTTTACGACTTCGGGATCATTATTATTATTATAGCAGGTACATAATAGTAATAATAATACCGTTGATTGTGACGTGTTAACACTGGTATAATATCAGTAACGTATATATTATAATGTAGGTATATTACGGTACGTACAATACCATTATTATAAAACACAATAATAATTGTTATTATTATTATTAGACGGTATCCTTACATACAGAAGGAAGAGCGCCGGGGCAAACACCGAGTGCGTTATTTGCAGTGCTGCGGCGGCGGGTGCACTACTGCGGCGTGTACTTAAGTCTTCTTTGTGCGCCGCACAAGACAAATTCGTTTATTGTTCCCGTTTTTGAATTGGTCATTTAGTAATTGTAGGCCGGTTGTGTATACACGGTCGCGTAGAGTCGTATATAAAGGTATACCGTATGCTATATAAATAAAAATTTTCGTACTCGACGCGTGCAACTCGTATATATTATTATGTATAGGTATATATTTGTCATGTACACGGTTTATAATGCGGTAGCTCGAACTATAACGTACAGTTATAGGGTATTCGAGTCTCGTGAATTATTTATTTCGCAGTAGAAACAAAAAAAAAAAAAAAACTATACCTATTTATTTGAATACAGTTATACTAGTTAACTTTTTTTTTTTATTCTTTCTGAAATAAATCACATATAATACGCGCGTGCACGGGCGACATAATAACGCGTATTGCGGAACACATAATATTGTAATGTATATTTTCAAAATATTTATTAATGTTTCGAGTATAAATTAATTCTCGGACAGATATACATAATTATTATTAATGATATAATTACGAATTTATACGGACAACAATATTAGATACTTAGAAAATATTATGTCGAATTTTATCATATAATGTTTATAATTAATTATATTGTGGTATGAACGCGGTTTCGCGAAAAATTTGACGATGCATTTTTATATATTGTGTGTATACTGTAACAATAATGCGAGTTTCATTCTGAATTTATTGTTAATGGTTTAGAGGTACAATAATAATAATATTTGTATAAAACACGAAATCGAATAAAATTGATTACAGTTGTATTCGTCGTATGTTCGAATATTTGATCAATATTTATTGAAATGTGTCCGTATATAATATCGCTATATTATATAGTGTACTTGAACCGTTAATAAAAAATAAAAATAAATAATAATAATAAAAAGAATATAGTTGGTGGTAATATACGGTCGTTATTCATAAATGCGTTCGAGTTTACTATATTCGACCTATTAGTTATGTGTTCTGCACGTTAGTATTTTTGCAGTACACTTTTCCCAATTCATTTTTCCTATTTTTATTTTTTCTAAATCAAAGATTCCCAATTTTAATATTTAAAATGGAAAAAAAAATTTTCCCCTAAAATTAGGTATTCTTAAAATAATACATTTTATAAAAAAAAAATCATTAATACATATTCTCTATTTCAATAGGCATATATTATTAATTTTGGATAGTTGAAATTCAATAACTATTATTATTGATTGAGTAAAATTCGTATTTATTTATACATTTAGGAAATTAATATTCACGGATGACAAATTTGTTTTATAATATATTGCCCGAGGAAAATTATAACTAGTACCTAATTAACTAATAACATTTCTTTGATCCCAGGAACGAGGGCTTAGATTAATTTTGTATAGTTATCAATACGAGAGCCAATTAAATTTTGAAAATAAACTAATTTACATTTTACAAAATTTAAAAACATTATTATATTTATATTGACATTTAAAATTGAAAAATAATCATTTTGGTATCGGGCAAATTAACTATCAGAAAATATTGCACCGAGAAAAAGAACTTATGAGAAAAACGTTATTGAGTAAAAGATTGTTCCAGAAAAACAGATTGCGTAAAGTGTCTCCTTACCGTTTATCATGTTGTCATTATAATATTATCACGCCGTTTTAATAAATACTATTTACAATTTTTGCTTTAACCTTGTCTAATTACATTTTTTTTTATTTTAACTTAACAACGCTCGAAAGTTACCTTATAATAATGTATAATATTGTGTTGAGATAGTGATATTATTTAATGTACATTTTTTACCGGTATAATAGGCATAGTATTAATTTTACTAAATTTAACACAATATGGAGGCAACTTAATTTTAATGTTAATTTACGAAATAATTGTTTTATTTTATTTACGAAATTACGCCCGTGGGCATTTACAATATTATGACTCAGAGTACGGGGTAAAACTTGCATAGTAACAATATATACAAATGAGGTTATACGTTAAAATATATATTAAAATGACAGAAAGTTACAAAAATTAACAGTCTCTAAACTACGGAGTAAAATTACTGAGAAAAAGGGAAAGCATGATAAGCGATGAATAGGGTAGTGCTTGTGAGAATATACGTGGTGATTTAAAATTTCCTATTTGAATTTCAAAAGTTGACCTTTGAAATCTTTCCAAAAAGAAATTAAAAAAAAAAAATGTATAAATTATTTTAGATGTTAAATCGAAAAATGTGTATAATACATTTTTCTCTATTTTGAATACTTACATGATAAAATGGTTGTAACACAAATTTTGAATCTATTTGCATAGTCGTGTGTGTCGGTATAGCGAACTGATAATAATTTCGGGTATTATAAGAAGGAATTTACTAAGAAAGTACATATAGTGTAAGCAGCATCTGCAAGTATTGCTTAGATAAAGTTTTGATTCGTATTAATGGTTAAAATAAAGAGAAAATAAAACACGTTTATTTTGATAAAAAATGATACTATTGAAAAACTAATAATTTTACAGATCCAAAAATATTAAATACTTTTCTTTATAAAATGTAAAATAAGTTCCTTTGCCCTAAACTCAATCTGTGAGTCAAAACAGTGGATGAAATGCTTTTGTTGCTAAAATATAAATACAAGTAATAATACGCGAGATAGAGAAAACAGATGTTAGTATTTTTAATTATTTATTATTAATCCATTAGTATTAATCCATTTTCAATGTGTGATTCATTAAAAAACAGATACTTAGAAGATTGTAAACAAAAGATTGGTCTGTTTCAGGAATGTATAATTGACACTGGAGCTGGAGTATAGAGAATTAAAATAAAATGTTTGGAAAATAGGTCGACTACATCATTATTATGTTTACTATCAACTAGATTAAACATATTTATTTTTACGAAGTCCCCAAACCTAGACGGGTTAGCAAAAACAGTTGCCTCGGCAGACCTAATAAATTGTAGTATTCTTAGTCAATAATTTATATTTAGCCCGTAAAAAGAAAACTTTTGGTAATCTATCACATTACACGTATTTTTAAAGACAAGGTAATTGGTTAACTAAAATAAAGTATATAGACAGGGCTGGATGATAACGATCATGGGATCAAGGCAGTATTGACACAGAATTGATAATGGTTAACAAAGATAAGACCTAATACCGACCCAATATTAAAAGTCACGAGCATTAAATTTATTAATAATAGTTGTTTTATTAGTTTATATTTTACAGTTAACATTATTGCAGTCTAAATATCCATTACTTAAAAAAAAATTAACAAAGATGTTTCTACGCTTATTTAGCTCGAAAAATATTAAATTGTTGAAATATCCTATGAATCGTTATTCAAAACGATATAATAATTCAATAATTTAATTTTCTACGGGCTGAATAAGTGTCAATTTTTTGTTTTTTTTTCGGTCCTGGTCCACTCTACAAGTCGGTTAGGTATAAAAAAATATCCGTCGTAAATTTGTCTTGATATCTTTTTAATTTTATATAACGTCTCGATTTTATGATTTAGTTACCCTTAAAGGTACGTCAGTATTCTGCGACATCCTCGGCGTCGTTAAAATCTTATGTAAATGGCGGGTGGGGAGGGGATGAGCTCCGAGTAAAATTAATACAATTTTAGATGTCGTCGTATTAACCGCTGCCTTTGTGCGACTCATTTATCGCGTTAAAATATTATCACCCGATGACGTTATTTCATAATAATTATTATAATATAAACATATTTTACCTTTTAAAGGTCGGCGGTTGTCGATTGATAGTATTTATATATAATCGCATGCGAATAATAATTAGCGCCACGTTATATGTTATTTTAAGAGGACGTCACACCCGCGCGTGTGCTGTCTCAATCGAACTAACGGAAAATATAGCAAAATCTACCTTATGCAGACTGCGCTTGCTTTTGCCTCCGTAATATTGTGCTCTTTTTAATTTTATAACGGGCACTTTTACTCCAAAACTAAAAGCACGCGAGTTCTATATGCATTCTGCGTGAGGTCGATTTTACCCGTTAGTACCGGACTGAGACAGTATACCAGGTGATCTATTTAAGTCGGTTTCACCGTACTTTTTCCTAGAACATTTAAGAAATAAGCTGCTCTACAATATTATATTTATGTTATTGTTTGTCACCCTTATTTTGGGGGTAAAACAACCACCCGCTTTTGATTTCCAAATGTTAACCTAAATTAAAAAGTTCATAAATAGATGTAGTATTAATTAAAAAAGTAGTAGAGAGTATAGTTGAGTATCATTTGTGTGAGGCGCACGGCGCGCGGCATGTTAATAATGCACCACTCCTCTCTCCTTCAACCAAAACATAAAAGTGGAATATCGCGTCAACGGATCGACGGAAATCAAAAATGTCAACGCTGAAATGTATTTTAACTAATATTCCATCTGTTTATGGAATTCTTAATGTAGGCTGCTATTTGAAAATCAAAAGTAGGTAGGTAGTGGTTTTACCCTCGGAAATAAGAATGACAAAAAATAATTTAAATATAACAATTGTAGAGCTGCTATTTTCTTAAATGTTCTAGAAAACAAATCCTAAAAAAACGTTAGTACTTTCCGAGATAATCAGTGTACCCATTCAAATGGATCACCGGTACACGCGCGAGTGTAACGTCCTCTTAATAGGTTCATCGACGTGTTGTCGTAACGCTGGTGAGGGATGCGCGCGACAATCCCCGTGCATTCGTCACACCGTACAGTTCTTATTTACGGTTGGTCGGCGGGTTGGTCGGTTTGCGGGGTAAATGTGGGCAGGTATGATATTATTATTATAATACTCTTTAACAATCGACTGCAAGTGCGCCGTCGCTAAAGTACTCCGTTACAATATTATCGCCCGGGGCTTAAGAACCGCGTATGTATTATAATCAAATGATTTCCGTTTCGTTGTACGCCAAATAATATTATAATAATTGCCTAATAATTTACTAAGGAAGTAGGCCGATGTAACATAGAATATGGATATCGTGCTTTTGAAACGAAATCAATTTTCTCGAATGTCTTAAATTATATATTATAAGACTATAATATTTTGTCTTGCTTATTTATAGATCAGTAAAGACGTGGATCGGGAATTTTCAATGAGATGAGGGAGAATGTAGATAATATTATATTAGTCATAGCAACGAATCTTATCTATTCTTTATTATCTGCAACTCGACAATACGAAGGCCTTCGGATCAAGAACAAAAAAAATAAAACAAACAAAAATAGACATTTTATTGAATAAATCTAGCTAGGTTGAACCATATAAATTTAATGATTGGTTCTGCATTACTCAAATACTCATAGTTGTATTAAAAACATTTAGAAAGAGAACTATAATACTATGCTCTTTTTAAATATAAATTCAAATACAAAATTAATATTATATAAATCGTTAAATTTAAATTATAAATGCGTTAATTAATATAATTAATTATTTATGCATTCAGTTTCTTTTCTTCTTTAGAATAATAATCCGAATAACATAACTTAAATTGATTCACTCAAGTATTTTTTTTTTTTTTTTTTTGTAAACTATATAATTATTATTATTGATTGTCAACGTTTATCATACCTATACGCGATGTTGCTATTTCTTAAAAATAAACGTATTGATTCAAAAATTATTCGTTTGGCTTGTAGCTCGATTTGGCAACAGATCAATAATAAACTCGTTATCACGATAGGTAGGAGGTATGTAATCGAATCAGCAATTTGACCGATACTTTTACAGATAATGTTATTATAATATGTTTTCGATTCGATATATTTTTATTTTAAATTAATTGATTACCTATGAATTAAAAAAAAAAAAAAAAAAAAAAAAAAAAAAACCAAAAAATATAAAATAACGAAACAATAATTTTATTCCAAACGGAATTGTGTTAAAATATACGCATTCCAAAAAAACTTCTCGAATATAATATTATAAATATTTACGGTTAAAACGGTCTATAATATATAATAATTAATGACGGTATAAATGTTTGATGCTAGATTAATTAATATTAATTATTTAATTTAATGTTTGACTAATCAGTTTTAATTAAGTAATTATAATTGCGGCGTTAAAATCTTAACGCAATCTAGACAGATAGAACACGATTTTTATCATTTGTAAAACGTTTATTTCTAAACTCGAAACACATGCACGGATTAGTGCCGTCACGTATTTCAATTTTATTTTTATTTTTTTTTCGTTTTAATACTTTATTTAATTCTTTTATTACTAAAAATACCGCAACTGTTTTTTTAGTATTTTTTTTTTTTTTTAAGTGAATATTTGTTATTTGAAAAATGCTATACACATCTATGTATATAATATTATAATATATAAACACGCGCGAATGGAAAATGAGCAGCAGTTTGACTAAATATTTTACGAAAGGTAATTGAATTTCGCACGTTATCAACTGCTGCAGCAGCAGTAATGTAAACGTTTTGTGAAAACTTATACGCCGCAATCATCGGTTCAACTGTATACCTACTAGATTGTACAATTGTGTTTTGGTTTTTAATTAAAATAATCCGATTACGACGATTTATGGAACGTTGTTTTAACTAAAACAGATATATATATACATATTTATTTGATTCTCTTAAATAATCGTGTTCAGTATATTAAAAAATATGTTTGCGTTTAAAATAATTACACCTTTATAGTAATAGAGAGGGGGATATTGTCCAAAGTTAAGCAAGTCGTTCAAAATGTCTAACTTGTTGTAGAGTTAATAAATGTGACGGTTATAATAAAGAAACCAATGGGTCTGATTTCTTTGAATTATCCGAAGTTATTCGTTAAAATTAATAACTTGTGATAGAAAACAATTAAAAGTCGAGTTATTTTTTAGATTCTAAGCGGAGCGAGGAATGTATTGGTCTTAAAATGATGTTAATTTTTTCATTTATGAAATGTATTATTTTAAAATCGTAAATATAGTCATATTTACTGTCTTTCAAAACGTGCATAACCGATCTCTGATCAGAATTGGTTTCCGTTAGTAGTAATTAATCTTAGCGTACAGATATATACATTTAATTTCCCCTCTACCTTCTCAGCTTCTCTCCTACAACAGCTTACCCATCGTGCGAAGTATGTTAGTGTGATTTTTTGTTTTATGGTGCTTATACTTGGGTATACTTAAAAAATTAAATTGAATTATCGAAATTGAATAAAATCGCAAACATACGCTGACGACAACATCGATTCCTATTAAATACTGATTTCATATTTGTTTTACTTACTATGATATTTTTTTTTTCTGGAAGTTAATCTTATTTAGCTGGTATACTGAGGAGATTTTTCTGAATTTTCTTGTAGTATTCTTAATAAATTCTTAATAAAATCCAGGAACGTTTACGGTTAAAACTGTCTTATTATATTTGAGTTAGTATTTTTTTTTTTTAGTATAGAAACCTGCAATTTTCACACATTGTCATAATTTAGCTTTTTTAGACGTGGTAAATTATTCAAAACATTCAATATTATTTTCATAATTTGAAATATAGATTTTCCATAAAAGAACCTTCCGAAAATTAACTAGATAGGTATAGTTATGAGTACTTTTTTCTGATCGGCGCGTTAGATTTCGAACATTTCAGGCTTTCAACATGTTAAGTTAGAAAATAATTCAGAAATTAAACTAACCAATTAATTTTAAAATTATAACCCATTGTAACTTTTACACTCAACTTTAACTTTCTATAAATATAGTTAATGTCCACTTTTGATATTTTGTTCTTCTTTTTAAATTTTGTTTTGGTACTAGATATTTTTTTTAGTTGCATAATATATTTCTTATTCAATATACGTAATTGCCTGGCTAATATGAAAATAAAACAATACGTTTCCGTATATATATATTGTTACGTCTACAGCTTTAACGTTTATGATGTCATTTTTAAACGTCCACAAATGCAGACTGCGATGAATAATGTTTTATTCGTGATGTCTAAATACAAAATGACTGTTTTCTTTTATAATGTCGAGGATATGTTATTTAAATAATTTCGGATATTCTGGGAAAATAATAACAGTATAGAGTACACTGTATAATGTATAGTTTTTGTTTTTGTAGAATATTAATAGTTTGTTCAATTATAACATATAATATACCTATTCATTTAACTTGCGACAATAATTGGCTCGTTATTATAATTTACGCATACGAGGTTTTGTGTACTTGGCTTATATAGCTTAATATAATAACTGCAGTAAATTGTAATTTAATACGAAATTTCCATCCTTTTTTTTTTTAGAAAAAAATAAAAATTATGTTTGTATAAAACATGACCGAATAAATTCGATTAACCGTTACACATAACATCATAAAAAAAAAAAGGAAAACAAAAGTTATTTGAAATAATATACATATTTGTATTGTACATTAAATAGTCTGGTACAGGTTTTATACGACTATCGTTAAACTGATCTATAGGATCGTTACATTTATTTTCACGCATAGACTATATTTTTATGAATATGAAAAACAAATTAATAATTATATTTGTTTTAAATTTCGTTTACAATAATGTTTCAATGATGATGGTACATACAAACAATAATTCGAAATTTTATAAATTATTATCATAAATTGCAGTGTTTGTATATATAGTCGTAAAAAGCAAGTTTGTATGTATACATGCATATAAGGAATCGTAGAAATTATATTTCAAACAACCCTACTTTAATTTCGTTGTTTTAGTAGAAATTAAATTTTTACGCCGCAATTTTGCTAATTTGTTTTTCGTATTTACTATCGTAGGTGATTTTTTTTTTTATCCCTCTCTTATTCAATTATAATGAAATGTCTGTGCTCATACCGGTATACTCGTATGAATAACGTTAATCTCTTGAATTAGGTGTTATATAAGAGTTTGTATTATTGAAACTTTTTTTTTCTTGTAATTATCTAATTTGTTCACGTCCTTATCACATACACAATTGCATATATACATCAGTAAATAATGCGTATATACATTTATTTAAATTTATAATAAGCAGTGCCAGTTCACCCCGAATATGCCTACTTTTAATTTTTGATTCTAAATATATTGTATAGTACATATACTTAAATTTTAAATAAGTATTACTATTTTTAATTAATAAAATCGTATACAAATCAATAACAAATCAAAGGCATTCTTGGTTTTATTGAAAAGTAAATTACATAATATACTAACTACACTATTTTGTTACGAGGTTGAGAACCGTAAAGTATAGTGAACAACTGTTTTACTTTTTTGTACTTTGTTGAGTGTAACAATTAGTACATATTACAAATTTTATTTATTTTTTTAGATTCTAAGCACAACGAGAAATCTCGCTTCCGATTTCGAGTTTAGCATCTTTTCTAGATGCAAATTTCATCTAGTTAATGCATTGCGAAGTGGTTTTTTTGGATTTTTCTTTTCGTTTTCTTAATTATTGGAAAAAACTTGTAAACGGCTTGGGAAAAGAGAAAGTTAACGGAATTATCGGTTATATTATAGCTTCGAGACTGTTATAATATTTTTAAACCGCTTTCAGAGGTTATACATAGTAAATCAAAGTATGAATATCATACATAATTATATGGCGTTTTAACAATGTTTTAGAATTTAAAAACTGTTTTTTAATTTTGTAACCACTCGTTTATATAAGCTATCGAAAATATACCCCTTGAATATCTCCGAAGATAATAAAGATAATCAAATTCTGTTTTTTTGTATTACTCACAGGAATGAGTTCTACAAATATTTATATTTAAATTATTATTTTTTTATTATTAAAATAACCGTTTTAAATTTTACTAATCAATGTAAAAACCGTTGTTATCTAGAGAATAACTTAACCCAGGCGATAATAATTCATCGGATATAAATATGTGATCCATACAATTTTCAGAAAAAAAAATTCTACCAAATAGCTACCTTAAAATTTTCCGAAAATAATAAAATAAAGTTATTTTTTTAATAAAAAAAAAAATCAATTTAAGTATAAATATTTGTAGTCTTCATCACTGTGAGTAATATATATAAAAAAAAAAAAAACAGAATTTGATTATTTTTACTATCTCCGGAGATATTCAAGGGGTATATCTTCGTGGGATAGCCTGTATATTGAAAATTAAAGACGTTTGGTTGCATATTATAGTCTTTTGGCCTGTTCTCTTTAGAGAGCTGACAGAAGGGCCGAAGCGAATTTAAAATTTCTTCGTAAACTATTAAATGGTAATATTGAGGCACCTCTTAAATTACCTCAACATTAAAATCGTATTATTTTTCTCTAGGATTAACTCTCCTTTGTTTATTTCTATATATACCACCAATTATGCCATAAACCAACCCCTTGTTGGGATGATGAAGATTGCTAATGAAGAGCCATCATTTTGGATAAATTAGTCCAGCTATATTATTATTATTATTATGTTATAAATTTATTTTACTTATTTTACCTGTTATTGTTATTTATGTACTACCTAGTCTTTTCAACCAACTTTTGCTAACAATGCAATTATACCGGGTTTATTTGAATTATTGTTTATTGTACCAAAAGTTTCTTTCATTGTATTAGTATAACTTTGGGCTTCTGCCGTTATTTTTAATAAAATAAATAAATAAATAAATAATACATAGATACTAGATTGTGTACGGACGATATCGAAAGGCAAATAGATGAAAGACAAATAGATTATAAAATATATTTTACCGAGCCGTATTCCACTATTTTGTTATAAAAATGTATTATTTCATTTTTTAATTCGCGAGTGTGTTGTATAATAATAATGATAATGATAATACCTATATACGGATTATTCGCATGTAAATAATACAGTATATTTATTGCTGCGGTGGTGGGTATTTTGAGGATAGCAGAATTTATGTACCTACAGTGCAATTCAATTCGGTGCCCCAAATTAACATCAATAGACCGCGTCATAATATATACAAACACACAATATATTCTACAGTCTAAAGGTTTACCGTATATTGCAATAAAATCAGTTAAAACCTCAATTACGCCGCCGATGTGGGTATCAAAGGGTATTTAAATTTTCAAGGATACCTATACTGCAGAGATCAAAAACCTTTTTCCCCTTTATTTTTCGGGCTAAATGACATACGCGTATTACCTATATATTCTCTCAAATGTTTTATTGGAAATAATATACTTATACTATATTATACTTGGTAAAATTGAAAAGGTTATATTATAATAATCGTATGATTTATGCCATTTCGACTGGTCACTTGTGTTGGACTGTTTATCAATTTAGCAATTTGACAGTTATGACGGTTATCATATAATTTAGCAATTTCAAAAATTTAATTCACGCGTATTAATAAATATACAAAATTGACAGAAGTCCTTCTTCCCCGGGACTACATAATTATTATTGGCGCGTGTCGGACATTTCGAGAAAACTGGTATGATTGCATATTTTCGCGATTGTTTAAATACTGGCGTATGCCAGTGGTGCGCAGAAGAATTTCGATAAGCGAGCGTATAATTAACCAACACGCACGCAGTTGCATTAATATTGATAACCCGTCTGGAACGTGTATCTATGGAATTTATTCATAGATCTGGCCTAGAGAAATTTCGTGAGAGACACTCGGTATTGAAATCGGCCATCGTAGACGGTGATCTGTGGAGAATTACTCTTTCTTAAAATATTTTTTTGGAAATTATAGCTCTTACATTTTATACTCTTTATAAAAAAACCATCTCTTAAAATTCTTCTAGGACTCTTAATATTTTAAGGGAATGTTAATAATAGGTTATAAGTGTACCTAATTGTTATTATATTATATCGTTAACAGATATATTCAATACTTATTTTGCAAACGTAAACCAAAAATAATATCTTTCGTCAATATTGTTACGCGTATATATTACCATATATATTATTATTCGATTTGTTAATTATCAAACATTTTAACGGAGGACATTACATAATAAAGATGGACTTTGAATTTAGTTCCAAAGGCCCGAAATAGTTATTAAGAGGTAGTTAAAAGAATATGACTCATGTGGACGAGGCATGATGTCTTGTGTAAATGTGTATTATTAGTTAAGTAAGTGATTGAGGAAGACTTTATTATATAGGGAAACAGCTTTTAGGGAGCCCAAGATTAAGAAGAGGAGGTTGTGTTAAGGGGATTCGAAATGGAACCGGTATTTTCAAGGGTATCTTTCTTTGTCTAACACATACGTAGCATATAAATGTTAAATAAGAAAGTTATTTATCGTTTGATAATATAATAGATATATCTAGATTTATTACTAAGTAAATAGATAATAAATAATTGGTTTAAAGAATTCAATTTATCGTTGATTTACTTACATTACTTAATAGACTTGGCGTTATTTACAAAAAATTTAAAATTTTCTTGTGTTTTCCTTTTATAATTTATTCTGTAGTTTCTAAATAATATATAATTACAGCTCAATTTAAAATGTTCAAAAAATTTTAAACCAAATTTACTTCGGTGTCGCTTTTCGTTTGCACTAAATTAAATTACCATTTGTTTATCTTGTATAACAATATACGGACCAACGTTTAACCTAGAAATACAGAGATACGAAAGGAGAAACAATGAAGGTATAAAAAGGCTATATAATAAGCCACATATCCTCTATTTTATAAGGATCAAACGATTAGAATGGTTTGGGCATGCGTAGTGATTGGATGGACAATTAATTAAAAATATACTAATCAACCAAATAAATAAAACAAGAGCCCATAGGACGGCACAAAACCAAGGATTTATTAATGATGGATCAAAGCGCATCATTACAACTAGTGCACCAGTGTAACCGGGTTTATTTCTCCTTGTGAAATTTCACCCCCCACCCCGGTACATTTTCCCTGGTGAAATTTTACCCCCGAAAATTTTACCAAGGGAGGTAAAATTTCACTTTGTAAATAATCGCGGGCACACTGGGACGTATGCGTAAGGAAGATTTTGATAAAGAAGAAGAGTTGTACAATATATTTCAAATTTCCAACTTACAACAGTGATCCATGGTGCGATGTAACCGTATCAGATTTTCACAATTTGTTTTATTGTTACAGTTTAGCACAATAATTGTTGTTATTTGTCCTAAAATGATGTAGTATCCTATGGCCCTGTGACACCGGACGTCATTCCCAGGCCCGGATTTAGGGTTGTGAAGGCCCGGGGGCCCATATTTATAAGGAGACTTATTCTATTCAAATAGAACAAATAGGCAAGAAAAATAAAAAAATTCAACAAATATTTGATTCGGCTTATAATATGATGTTTGTGGGTCCCCATTTTTCGTGGATCCCGGGGACGCGGCCCCCTCTGTCCCCCTCTCCCCCTAATCCGGGCCTTGTCATTCCGTCGTACTCGAACGAGACGACAATAAATTGCACGCTAGTGACGCGTGGCACACGTGTAAGCTACCGACACACATTTTTATGATTCCAGCCTCGATTATTGACGGTCGGTTACGGCCGTTTGATCCCGGGGCCATATTATATCCGTAAACGCGTCCGACTGATAATTCGGAATACGGGCGCGCTTTGATTTCCGCGTCACTTTGTTGTTTGTGTGTACAACAATACTATTGTGTAAGTATTGATGTATATGTGTATTATTGTCGTGCGACTGTATGCACGGTTTAAACGCTCCGCGGATTAGTAAATAATAATATTATTATTATGTGTTTATATCGAATTATTATACGATCGTCGTCGCCGTCACCGCCGCTGGTCAATCGACATCGTTTTGACGTTCATACATCTACATATACATCTATGTATATGTATAGTGCCGATAAGTTCGGTCGGGGGAGGACGGAAAATCGATTCGTAGTGTGGCATAAGGCGCGTTCGCCGAGCGAGGGAGAGAGATTGAACGAGAGAGAGAGAGAGAGAGAGAGAGTGTATGTGGGAGAGAGAGAGAATGAGTGGGCTGGTCGGCGGGCGGGTGGAAGAGGGCGAGGGATCGGAATAGGGGAAGCAGTGGGGTGAAACGACGTGTGCCGCCAGCGTTGTTCCGCGAGCAAAGGATATAGCTAAACGTTTTCGAGAAGAGCACCACGCCGCCGCTGCCGCTCGCCGTCATTGTTTCGTTTACTTTTCGTATTTCAATCTGTTTTAACCGCCGCCGCCGCCGGTTAAAACATCGATTTTATATTATAATCTGTGTCCTAAATAATAACCGTACTTAATAAGTATTATATAAGTACGCACGTAATAAGTATCGTATTTCATCAATAATAATCGTTTTTAATAATCAAAGTAAACTATCATACGCGGTATACGTATATAATTATAACGTGTAGTTTTTATAAAATATACGGGCAAGCCCTTTTGGTACGAACCGAGTTACATTGCAGTAAATACTAGATGACATAATACAATTTTCAAAAAAAAAAATACGTAAAACGTAAGCCAATTAAAAATGAAAGTCGGGGTCTGTAAATATATATTGGCACGAGACGTCAAACGTCTTATAAGTTCATTTCTCATGTAGTTTGTGGTACTTGGAGGTATGGGCAACGTAGAAGAGAAACGAGAGGGCTGTGAAATTTTAAAGTTAATTAAGAAAAGCAAGGATGGAGAATTAACATCACCTATTAATTAGGCCTTTTAAAAATTTAGACCAAACGTAATGTCATCACACACAGCGTTATTCTGGAAAATCACAGGTACGATAATATACGAATAATGTACGATAATGTACGAATGTATACGATAATAAATTTACCTTGTATTTTTTTATCAGGCTACTTTTCATTATGGTATCCAATATCTGTTTGTGTTAAAATATACGAGATATTTGAATACAATTATTGGTATACAATTGAAAAAAATAAAAACAATGAAAAACCTAAACAAGTTGTTCGTATTGAGGGGTTTTAAAGTAACCGAGAATGTTACAGCCAACGATATTTTTTCCGAAAATATTTAAATAGAAACGTATTTTGTCCGAAGGATATTAGATACACGAAACAAAAAACGCACGGAAATAAAAAAATCAAAAATATTTAAGCTAAACAGTATTTAATCTGAAAATGTTTCATGACTAACTCCATATAAACATAATATATATCATATAAATCTACTTATCTAGAAATTATATTCAAACAAAGCCTCTTCCCGCCGTGACTGATTATTACTATGATTACCTATCTAACCGTTCAAACAGCTGTCCATTATAAATTATAATTATAACTTCAGTGCTATACCGATTTAATTGTTATTTCGCATTTAACGTGACGCCTGGCCCAATGAGCCACGAAACATTTTTGAATTAAAATAATGTTCAGATAAACTATTATTATTCGTATATTCATATACTACTTTTGAATGAAATATTTTCTAATAAAATACGTTCAAACGATAAGTTTTTGGCGAAATATTTTTCGGATTTAATACGATGTTAAGGGTTTTAGATTCTGGCACAGCTAAGGAATGTATAGACATTAGTTTTACTGTTTTTTCTTTTGTTTGTATCTTAATACATTTTATACCAGAAATCTTGTTTTAATTTTCAAGTGTAGAATTTCTTCTAATAGGAAATTGTTTCTTTTGGCGCAGTCATCATTTTTTGATTTCCCTTGTAGTTTTTTTAATAAATTGAGGAATTTTCAAAGAATGCTTATCTTATATTAGTATTTTCTAGGCGTGCTAACATTTTATGCGGATTAAAATTCAAACATGCTTGAAAATAAAACACGAGGTTCATAATAAGTTGTCCTTGGTGATAAAAAAAAAACCAACAGAAGTTGAGTGTGATATATTAGTTTTTGTTTTTAAAGCGTTTTGAATTCAAATTTTGACGAAAAACATGTCGCCAAAGCATTTCAAAACATATTTTTAGTCGTATTTCGTTTAGAACAGTATTCGGTTAGCAATGATTCATCGTTGCGTGAATGTATTTATCGTTTCATTGTCGCGATTATACTGGGTAATTATCTCATTCATTTAATAATATTATTATAATATTACCATTTACCGCGTCTACACGTTTAGTTATAAGTGTATAAGTGTAATAAGTACACGCGCGTATTGAAATGCTACAGCGAAGTCACCCTATATATTGTGTAAAATATATACTGCGAAAACTAATTTGATTAAAAATAATTAACTTTTCAGAGTATACCCCCGGTGTACAACATTAAGCAACGTCAAGCGAGCGAGCGAGAGATCTGCATTATTAAACGGCTTATTTACGCGAACTTTTCTAAAAAAAAAATCCCGTCTTCGTCTCCTCGACGAAAAGTAGTAGAGGTACCTAATCGTGCGACGTAACTTATTTGAATAATCTCGTCGTTATTTTCGTATAATTTTTTTATGTCGGTATTAAGTGATATATAAAAATAAAAAAATAAACGTGTATTATAATACTGTATAATATAATACAATATAGTGTATAATCTTTTTTAATATTACAATAAATTACTACTGCTGCTGCTGTAGATTATAATATACGAACGTCTTTAAAGAAACATAATATAAATTATAATATTCTACTTAAACCTATGAATGTATTCACGTCATATTATTTTAGTAATTTTCGTTAGTAATATATCATTTAAAATTGTTTAATTTATGCGTAATTGGGACCCTGCGTCCATTTTTTTTTTTTTGGGCTTGGAAATTGACTCAAATCGATTGACAGTAACTCAAATAATTCTGTTATAGAGTTATTTTTGTCACGCTTAAAACAGTTTATTAATATTCATTTTTAAAATAATTAGTCGATTATTTGAATTGTCTAAAACGGTTTTTATAATTTACTTAATTTGATAGCGGTGACGCCTTTCCTGGGGCATAAACAGTGTTAACGGTTATTATTACAAATTGTTATAGGTATGGTTAAGTTTACACCGCATAGATCATCAATATTATCCTACAATGATGTTCTTAAAGTGAGTGATGTGGGTGATACATCATCCTTCCTCCAAAGAGTTTTGTAGCTGAGTTTGTAATGCTGGTTGATAGCAATCAACTTGGTCGCCGCTGATATCATACAAAAACCTGTTGAAAATCATTTTTATCATAGCGATATGTTTTTGTTATTTTTAAAGTTTAATTATTAAAAAAACAAGAACTTTTCGGAAAACTTTTCAAGCATAATCTGTTTATCTTATTTAATTACAGAAATCCCCGAACTTTTCAAAATAATAATGTTTTACCTGTATGTTGCGCGTAATTAAATCATGGACTGAGATTGGGAGGAGGGGGACAAAATTATCCTCTTAAAATCTGTATTTTATACAATAATAAACCAGTATTTGAATTTAATACAACAATTTATTAGAGCCATTTTAGCCTCCATTAAAAAAGGTATCAAAACACCGCCTGTGGATTTAATGCGTGGCCCGTGGTAGATATACTGGTGAACTATGCCGAAATATCGTGTTCTTTATTTTAGATTCCCAGTGAAATGCATTATTGGTTTTACTGCTGTACGGTGTGTCTGTTAACACGATTTCGATCAAACGACTTGCTTAAATTGAAAAGCAGAAAGAAACATCTGGGGGTTATTTCTGGTAGCTAATGTAATTGGTGTACTCGGAGTTATTATTATTTTTTTTAATTCTTGTACTTTTTCAAGGCTGGACGAATTAATGAATAGTTAAGTTAAGTATTAATTGAAAAAAACAAACGCGTTAACATGCTAAAAGTTTATTGTTTTATTATAATTAACTAGCAATTAAAAGTTTATTTGAAAATTGAATTCAACTCATTCTCGGAAAACATTTATTCGGTAACTAAAAATGCCCTTATTTTTTCGTATTGTACTTTAAAAGTTTGTTAATTTTTTCCTGGTGGTATTTTGACATATTTTCGAAATTACTTTTTTTTAAATAATTGCTTATTGTTTTTTTTTTGAAAAAATATTTGTTTGGTTACTTAAATGTTCTAATGTTTTCTCATAAGATGCAGAATTTCTGCCCGGTAGTTACACTTAATTTGAAATATTTACTGTCATTTGTAGCAGTTAATTTTGTTGATTTCTGTAAGGTTCTGTACTTCTGTTGGCAACAAGGGAAAAACACGATCAATATTATTCGTTTGCTATGGCTTTTCGTTCAAACAGTAGGTACGTAAATTAAAGCATAGGTACCCAGTATAATGTCCTACTTTGTTCCCGACTACGCGCCGACAACACTAGTCATCCGTTAGAAGTATCAGTTTTTTGTTCTTTTTTTTTTTAATTCGCTGTTAATCGCGTAATCAATCACACAACCCGGAGTATATAATTCCCTCTTGTCGGTGTTCGGAAATTTTGTATAAATTGGTAGACAGAATCGCAAAACAGAAATCAATATAGTCATTTGGTAAATGATATATTATATGCAGTGGTGTATCTCGGATTATGGGGGAGGATAGGGATCTTAGGGTTCTATAACTTTTCTAACGTTACCTATAACAAAAAAAAAGCAACGGGGGAGGGTTACAACACCCTATCTCCCCTGGTTACGCCGTTAAGTCTTGTTACCACGTTTAAAATAAAATGTAAGCCAACGGACCCGGCCGTCCCTGGTTCGAAGCCATACAACAATATATTATTTCATACTTCGATACAATGAACATTTTGGAAGTTTTATTTTATTGCCTTGGGGTTTTTTACGACGTGATTGCGGCCGAATGTCGAAAAGGTCACACTGACGATATAATAATAATTTTGTTTATCGTCGTGTCACTTATAAGTTATAAAATATTTTATATTTGTATACGTTAGTGCTGCATCGAGTATACAGACGTTATTTTATTAGTATAAATGTATAATATTTACCATGTGTCCATATTATTTACAAAACTTCACATAATAATGTGCATCGCGACGTAAACGGTTATAATATTATAATGACGTTTCGAACTTCAGTTCTATAATGAGCAATATCGTTTTATTAACTATTTATTTATTTATTTATTTTAGATTCTGAGCGTAGCGAGGGAGCTATTGGTTTTACTAAGATGTTTATTTATTTATTTATTTTCCTTGATCTTTGTTCTTTGTTCTAATTTATGGGAACGTCTTATCCTTGTAAACTTGCTCCGATTTTTACGTGTAGCATCTTTTCTGAAAGTTCAAGTTGTCTAGGTTGTACTTTAAACATGTCATTTTTGACTTTCTGCGTTATTTTTTAACTAAAAGAACTTAAGTGAAAAAAACGTAGGAAAACGTACAATTTCACAATTTCATTGTTTTATAAAAACATGGACGACGTTTTCTACCAGAATAAATGATTTAATCGAAAAATAACAAAACACATTTCTTGTTGCTTTTTTTGAATTATTTCCTTACGGTATCATTGTCAAAACTTTTAAGCCATTTTTGAGCTCTTAAGGAATTTTAATTTTTGGGAGTCTTTTTGTTACAATTCGGTTATTAATACATGTAGAGACTTTAAACTTGGTAATAATACTTATATTGAACTTACTTAGCTATAGTCAAATTTCCAAAATGATCGAACGACTTTTTATTTTTAATAAGCGCTTTGAAATCATATTCAAACGAAAATCGCAAGAAAAACTACAATTCAAATTATGTATTACCGAATTGCACTCGGAATCTTTCTTCAGTCAATGGTTTATCGTCGCTTACAAATATAAATGAAATAACCTTATATATCTTACCTTCCTAACTTCTTACCTACAACAGTGGCTGCTCCCATCCCCCGTACCGACACTTTTTTTTTTTTTTTTAAATTTCAGCGTTCTCAATTGTATTGGTTTTACTATAATGATGTGGGCTTATCTATTTTTCCTACATACTTTCTACAGAAAATATTGCTCCGACCATCAGATGTAGTAGGATTTTGTCTAAAAGTTTATTTGTTCTGGTCGGTACATCAAGGAGGTCATATTTGGAATTTTTTCTTTTTCATTATTTTTTTTTTTTTAAATTTTGTTAAAAAAAATTATAATGACCTAATATTTTTATAGAATACTCGTATTAGCTTTTTCTAGACGTAGTCAAATTGTCAAAAAATTATAGTGATTTTTAGTCTATTTATATATAGACATGTGAAATTTTCGTTTTTTTTTTTTTTTTTTAGTTTTTATTCGGTTTAATGTAGATACAATTGTTTCGGCCCTTCAAAAATTCTTGAAATTTTAACACGAAGTTCATCATCATAAGTTGAACCTATAGCGGTAAAATCGTTGAAAGTATTTTCCCGTTCTTTTTTTTTTATATAAGCGTTTCAAGTTTAATTCTTAAAAATGAGGGCATTTCAAAACATATCTAACTGAACTCAGAATCGTTTTACGTTTGACAATGATTTATCGCTACGTTTCTGATATAAATTAAATTATTCTATATACCTTATTAAATACCTTTCCAACTTGTCACCTTTTATGTATATTTATTCGCCCCACGTGTTATGAATAGTAATTTATGGTTTTACACGTCGGGTATAGTAGCTACATAATATCATAACTAGATCGTACGGTTTTTTTTTTTTTTTTTGCTTTAAGCATTGTGCAAACATTAAAAAAATTAAAAACATATTATGTACCTCCTACTTATATGATTTGTTTGAATAAAATACTAAAAAAAAAAAAAAAAAAAGACTTGTCAACAATTTTTTGTTATAAAAAGAAAGTATTTATTAACGATTTTAACTGCGTATCGTACTTTTTTTTTTTTAATAAACGTACCTTTTAAAAACAATTTTTTTTAATATAATCGAAAAAAAAAACCATGTAGTATATTAAATCAATTAAAAAAAAAAAAAGAAAAAAAAAACATAATAATCGAAGTACACAAAACCAATCACTAACGAGAAAACGAATCGCCTCGATTTTACGTGAATAGGTTTTTTATAGTCATAAACTCATAACGAATACGCATTTCAATGCCGCGATACTTTTAACTCGATTGATAAAATTTCGCAATTATTTACGCTCTGTATGTGCGGTCAAAGTTTTTTCTCCGTATTTATTTATTCGTTAAAAAAAAAAAATCGGAATAATATCGCTGCGCCAAATTCCGGCTCCGGTCGGAATCGTTTATCGAACAAAATTGTTATAAAAATATATATTATTTATCTTCGCCTCTTGAATTTTAGTAAAAGAAAAAGTAATGATAATACAATATTCGGTGAAACCTTGCGGGGACCTCCGAAAAACTGCCCGAGCACAGTTCGAAGTTTATGCGTTTGCTAGTCTATATAATAATAGTATAATATTACCAACGGGATGTAATCAATAATTTTTTTTATTTCTTGTTAACTATTTTTGTACTGTCGGTGTATTTTGGTACTTAGAATATAATAATATAAACAGTCGATGTAAAATTTATAAACAACTAATCTGCACACTTTGTACTGTGGAACAAGGTAATATTTTTTGTATTTTCTAGCGAATGTATAACGGTAGACCGTTGCGATTGAAAGTCAATTCTGAGCTGAGCTCGGTATATCGGCAAGGGCACTCGCAGAAAAATAAACCGGAAGGGGTTTTACGGGCTAAGAACTAAATTTTACTTATCATTGACGTAAACAAAAAAAAAAACTATAACAAACTATCATTTTATCTAAATTAGGTACTTGACTTCCCCACCGCCCCGCGAGTGACCTAGTAAACCGGTAAAGTTGTAAATATACGCGATTCCGTAAGTTTGTCCCTTTTGGCAGTACGCTATTCCATACATTTGGCAAAAAGGTTCGTTTTTAATGCCTGACCCTTAAACTAATACGACTCCGTACGAAAATTAGTGCAGCATATACAGTTGCCAACACGTGTAAAGCTGGATTTCATAATATTTACTCAAAGAATGCTGTAAAATAGTTTTACTCACAACACTCGCGTCGAGATGACGATTGTGTATTGTATAATACAATACATCAATAATTGTATTAATTGTATTATAATACAATAAATTAATAATAATAATAATTAATAATAAATCAATAATGACGCGATTCTACGCGGTTAATCGGTGTTCGATATTTTATTTCAGTTTTGTAAAGTATTCTCAAGCCTGCAGGTTCCCACGACACTCGTGTATTCGACGAATATTTTCCGTGCAGTAGGAACTATTACGTTCCCACCCGTACGAATTTTCGGCACTTGTTGGTTATTGGTTATTCGTCACATTCCCGCGGATTGTCAGTAAAAGTGACACGAGTCTCGAAGAGATTGTTATCAGTGTTACCGATCGGTAGCCGATTATCATTTGAACGTTCGCCAAACACGCGAGTACCCTGCGAATTGTATAATATCGTTTGAACATTTATGCTCCGGTAGTGACAAGTCTGGAACTTGTGGATGCAACCGCAGTGCCGTATAATCGTATTCATAATAACCTACAGCGTGAGCCCCGTGTAATAATCCATAGGCAACAATCGCGGTGTAGTAATAAATATCGACGACCGTAACGGAATAGTCTACCCATAAATTATTATTATTTTATTTTCCTATTAATGCAATACAATTAAAATATATACTATTAATAGTTAACAGGCGAATTAGAATAAGCAAACAACTAACCATATAAAACAAAGTAGAATATAAACAAATAAATAAGTGCAAAAGATAGCGGATGCACTGCCTACGTTTTTCCTACTTAGTGGTACTGAGTGGCCTTAGACGTCGACGTCTAATGATTCCAGCCGTTCAATTGCCTTGTCCCTTGCATACCCGTAAATGAGTAACAACGGCAATGCCGCATTACATTCGTCCGGCTGTATAACGTACGGAATCGTACTCGAACCTTTTGTATCGTATTATTTTTTTTTCTTTTACAACTTAAGATATAATGTCTATTAAATAATGCTATAAAATGTTACATTACTATTATTTTTTGTCGTCCTTATTTTTGGGGATGATTCCGAGGGAGAATAGCGGAACACAGTTTAAACGTCGCTCGTTGTGTCCCCACACAAATGATGTTCCACTTCTTTCTTTTTACTCAAACTCAAGGGTAAAAATCTCGTTAACGGGCCGACGAAAATCAAAATTGTCAACATCAACATTGATTTAAACTATAGTACTCGAATATTTCACAAATAGACTGCTATTTGTGAAATATTCGATATAGCTGGTTGCCAATCGAAAGTAAAAAATAGGCAGTAGTTTCATACCCCTCCCCCTCCCCCGAAAATAAGGGTGTAAAAATTAATAACAGTGCGACGTTTTAGAGTTGCTTGTTTAATACACTGTCAAAAACCCTTTAAAAGTATTAATACTTTACGAGATATCGCAATAATCGTATTATCTTCGTGAAACATCCTGTAGGCGTATAAACAATACGAACAAGTCATAGATTAAGTCATTTTTTCCACCCTACGAGTAAATATCTAATAATATAACGAGCCACACAATTTTCAATAAATAAATCCTCCCCGTTTGTATTATTTGTTTATGTTTTATATTCGTGTCGGTAATATTTACTTTATCATATACGTATACGTATATAAATATTTAATATTATACACGAGTACATCACGCAGTAACACAAATCGGAATATTCCGCAATTGAACGCGTAATTTCCGTCGGTATATACACATTTTTTTTGTTTTCGAATTGTCGTTTATTGTTTGCCGAGAGAACAGAATAAGAGAAAACGGAAAAAAAAACCGTTTTTCAAATATTTATTTTTTTGTTTCGTGTGTTCACAGACGGTCTCTCAACAGCCCGCGCAGTCGGTACCGCCGTCGTCGTCGCAGCTGCAACCGGCGGCACCGCGTCCGTCGTACGCGCCCCTGACCGCGTTGTCCAGCATGCAACCTCCCGGCTCGTCGTCGGGCGTCGAACACCACCATCAGCAGCCCCCGCCGCAGCCGCCGCCGCCGATACCGTTGCAGTTGCCGACGCACCACCACCGCCGGCACCATCACCACCACCATCAGCACCACGGAGGCGGCGCCGTGCCGTACAACAGCGCGTTTTCCGCGCCGCCGCCGCCGACGCCGCAGGCCAACGGCACCTCGTCGGACGCTTCCGACCACAACGGCGGCAAACACGAACAACCGGCGCCGTTACCGCCGCCGCTGCCGCCGCCGTCGTACGCTCACGGTGAGTACATACATTACGATATCCGTGTTTTAATAATATAATCGTTATACCTGCACAAGACAACGTTGTTACCGCCGCCGTAATAATTATTGGCGTTTATGTTTACAACAATATAATCAAAAGCGAATATATTATTGTATTTGTCCAGCGTATACAATACAATAAAATAATTAGGTCGAGACCGAGTGCAATATTATTACAACGGTCAAGTGTACGGCTCGAATACTTCGACCTCTTTATTGTTATTATTATCATTATTATCATTTTTTTTTTTTTTTTGTAATCCTTTGGATAAATACGACGAGAGAAAGAAATTGTTTTTGTCAATAAGTCGTATTTTATATTCACATTCTAAAAATAGTATAATATTTCCGTTATCATTGCTAATTTTACTTGTATAATATTAGTTATTTAGAAACTGGGCAGTGGCTAGTTTTAAACACTTTCAAGACACAAGTCTTAGAAATCGCTTAATTATTTTTTACAAAAAAATGGACAATGGGGGTTGTCAACATTTTCCCCTAATTCTATAGTTGTGTCACATTGAAAAAATTAGTTTTTTTTTTAAATTTACCTAGTTTAAAAAAATCAGTTTTGGCGTGATTTCAAATGTGTCTTACCAAATATCAGGTATACTGAGGTTACCATAATACCGATTTGGACGTACCAATAACGTTATAAATCTGAGATACATGATAAGACGTGATTTTAGTCAGTGGTAACCCACTAAACCAAAAACCTGGTAAGACATATTTGATTACCGTCGATACCGATCGTTTTGAATACTTTTCAATTTATTGATTTTTAAACTCTTTTTGTGAAGAATTAAAAAGTCAGAGTGAAAAATTAATTTCATTTTTGAGCTTATCGCGTTTATTAAAATAAGATTCGTGGATTTAATCAATCATTTTTTTTTTTTTTTTTTGACAATCCCCATTATGTTTTTGGCATTTATTTTTTGATGAAAATTACGTATTTCAACGTTAAAATGGATAGATCGCGCATATCAATACTGGTATGCCTATGCAGGGATATGGGATATCAATCACACGCGCCTTGTTTATAGTATAGATCTACAAAATAATCTAAAAATTATAGTACAAAAGGTCAGGTTATAGGTCGAGTGTATAGTAAATTATCATTTAAAAAAAGTAACTCTCGACTTGCATCGTAATTAAGTATATTATAATTTTCCTGAAAATTTTAACTTATTTTGGTTTCTAAAATTAATTTATATTTTAAAATTAACTGTTACTCGACTTCGACATTTTGTTTCGTTTTAGGATAACCCGACTCGAACTAGTTAAAAAACAATTGGTTAACTAGCTCAGCATTGATTTACTTAGTACTCATCAACAGCGTGTTTTTCAGACCCCCGCGCCAAGGCAAACACTACTTAATAATTTATAATATACAATTTGACCGCCTACGGCTTTTAAATTATATTCTTTTTTTTTTTTTAGCGCGAGGAACCGTTTACCATACATTAGATAATACAATAATAGTAGCTTGTATACAGTATATAGATGGCATTATATTTTATTTTAGGTAAAACGGTGCTAATCGATTACTGCGTTGACCATTGATTTGCGAATAATTATTAATAATGTGTGCTTTCCCTGTACCCGTATACGATTTCAGTTTCGTTAAACTGAATTTACGTTTCATGAAAATATAATAATCATCAATTAAAAAAAATATTTAAAAATTTTGATTTCATGAATATGTATAAATAATTGTATACGTATATCGTAATAATTTATGCGATTAAAATAAATTAAGTCACGTAAATATTTATTGATTTTAACCGAACACGTTGCGTTTTTTTCCCTTCGTATGTTTTTACGAAAATTATCATCGGTTTTTTTTTTTTTTTATATATATATATATATTTTGTTTTTTTGTTTTTTATATGAAGACGTTGGAATATATTAATATTATACGTATAATATTGAAGTCATCGGTATCGTATCTGTCGGCGGTTTGATTATTACGGTTCGATATATTTTAAGCGTGATCGAGAACACTATATAAACGCGTCCGCAAAAAGAGACAAACAATTCTAATATTGCGTTTAGGGTTATGGGGTCGGCGGGGACTATAATTGTGTAGTCTGGTCAAATAATATTTTTACAGACCGTAAAAGAAAAAAATATATATATCGGTTATTACCCTCGCCGAGGAATTTATATTAAACTGACGCTCTCGGATGATCGGGGGAGCAGGAGGTGTAATAATCCGAAATATTGAATTGTATCACACTAAAATCTTATATAACACGAGTCTGTGCAGCTCGTCGGTTTGTGCGAGACATTTCGTCGCATTATAGTCATACTTTTGTCTGTTTAGTCCTTCACAGATTGCATTAAACAAATTGAAAACATTGAAAACGATCGGGTTTCAGCGGGAATCGAACATGCTTACCTGGTACCTACAAGTAACCGATAATTACCACTGTTTATTAACGCCTATCACGAGTATTATTGCAATGGTAATGTTATAGTATACAGCTAGGGTGTGTCCTACAAAGATGATACTCCTTGAATATTTCTGGATAAAATAAAGATAATAAAATTCTGTTTTTTGTATATTACTCACAGAGATGAGAACCACAAATATTTATATTTGAACTATTTTTTTTTATTATTCAAAAAATAAGTTTATATTTTATTATTTTCGGAAAATGTTAAGATAGCCATGCTGTAAATTTTAATGCAACACACATTTATATCTGATGAATAATTTTTAAGTAATAGCCGTCTTAAATTCTATTAACCCATGTGAAAACCGATGTTATCTAGGGAATGACCTAACCTTGTTACGCGATAACAGAATTTGATTATCTTTATTTTATCCAGAGATATTAAAGGGGTATATCTTCGCGGGACAGCCTGTATAGTAACTGTACACTATATATTGAGATTAAACAGTGTAATCACGATGCTGCGGTGTTCTTACCAAAGTGGTAAGCTTTTTATTACTCAAATGTTGGTATGACATTTGATTTTTCGCAAAAACCGATCGTTTTGATCTAGTTATTTTTTTTAAAAAAAAAAAACCCATATTTTCTTACACAATCTATAAATTGAGGGAAATATGCGTTTAAAAATTTGTTTTTTTCCCGTATTCGTCAAATTTGCCAGTTCCGTGATCCATATTTGATTGGATATGGTTAAAATAATTATTTAAAGACGAAAATCTTAATATTTACAAGGATTGCGTTGTATCTTAATGTGGGACCATTTCTATGTATATTAAAATAAAATTGTCGTGTCTCTCGATTAACTTATAAATTGGGGCATTTAAAACAAATCGCAGGCGTCTGAATTATGTGTCCATCCGCCCTTGGTTGTACCTACTTAATTTTGTATATAAATGCGAAAAAAATCAAAAAATATTCTAAAATAAATAAATCTCCTTTTTGTTTTGTTATGTTTTTGATCGCAAAACAAAATAGATTTACACACTGTTCACTTATAATAAGATACGATTATCGTACATATTATGAAAGTTGCCGTACAAGTTTTAATTCAATATACTCTAGGTTATAGTGTATTATAAATGTATTTATACTTCCAATAATTTATTTAATTTTGATTATATTTTGATTTAAATTAAAAAAAAAAAATGTAATTAAGGTTTTATACATTTTATGTTCGAGCGGGTTAAAAGTTATTATGGGAAATTGACGTTTATACGAGGGGAGAGAAAATATGGTGACCGGGAAACTTTTTAAATCTTCATTGAGTTTTGGTATCTACCTATAGGTGTAGCCATTTTTATTTTTAAACGGTCCCGATAAATATTAATCGCGACAAAAAAAAATTGATTTTCCAGTGAAAATTTATTATATTCTATCGTTAAAAAAAAATAAAAAACATTGTTGATTAATAAAATCTAATGAAAAAAAATATTGTCGGCCCCTAACGAAAAAAAAGTGTTGTCATTTCCAGTATTTAACATAAATTTTGTAAATTAAAAAAAACTAAATAAATAAAAAAATGCACAGGGAAATTGTATATTGAAAAATAAACGTAGAATATATTATACTCACGTAGTTGTTTGATGTTTCTGTTTGTTATAATTTTCAAGTAGAAGCGATTGATCAAAACTCTGTTGTAAAGTACCGACAACTATTCTATATTAAATATTAGCGAACTATTTTACTTTAAGGTCGACCAGTTAATACTGTTCAATATGCCTTTATTACACCCGGCGGAAAATAAATGTTCAAGTCTAGACTTCGTTTGAAACATTTGCTCGAATTAAATATTTTATAAAATACCGTTTCTATTACGAGTTCGTTTATTCTTCTTCTACTCTTTACTCTCTGGCCACCGTCCGTATATCATACTACTTAATTTCCAATTTACTATACCCAACCCTTCCAAATCCTCCTTATACATATTACACAAACAGAATCCATCTTTTTCTGGGTTTACCACTATATGTGATCTTTGAGGTGCCCATTCGAAACCTGTTCTTAGCGTTTCTGGATTTTTTTTTGACGCATAATGTGGTCTAACTACTGAACATGTAGGTCCATTCAAGTTTTAGGGAAGTAAATATTTGTTTTCGACATGTAATTCAAATACATGTGGGTAATTTCTTCTTAGTCCTCAACAAACAATAATTTCAATTTTTTTATTTATTGTATTATAATGTAATTTTTTTAAATTTATTAGTTCATCTGAATCTGATTCTCTGTGTTAGGTTTACTTTCAGTACCAGTGATAATATAATCATATTGATATCAAATAGTCTTCGAGTCTTTCGGTTCAGAAATTATTTTTTTGTCTTTTGAATCTAACAAATGATTAATAAAATAATATAGATACATATAAATTCCAATTTGTACAAAAAATAATTTAAATACTCTGCAGTTTTTAACAAGGAAAGGCGAGAAAAATGTTGTATTTGTTTGCAAACTTTTGAATTTTAAAACATAATACGAACATTTTTGGGAAGTTTAGGTTAGGTTTGATTAGGTTAGGATAGATGAGGTGAGGGCTGGGCTAATAGAATATTTGGGAGAGTTTAGCCCCTGAGTTTTCCAATCCGCTTATGCCACTGAATTAGTTTTGGCTCTCGGTGAAGCTATCTTACATTCATACGTTGGACTTATTATTATGCAGCTATATAGAGTCTAGGTACTTTTAGTTCTTTTATAAACAGCATTTTAGAATTCAAGAATACTTCATCAATACGTAGAGTGTTTTTTAGCTTTAAATTTGTTTGTATAAATTAAAAGTATTATGTATTTTTTTTTTAAATGCCGTTTTCTTCTTAAACGTTTTATTAGTTGGATATTTTTACGAATTATAAAGTTTTATGTAGGAACATAAATTACAACATTATGTATGTTTTTGTATACCTACACAAAAAATAATATCTGCGTGAAAACTATTTACGAGTGTCACGAGTATAGCCTCGGATTTTCTATATAAATAAAATAAAAAATAATAAAAAACAAGTAATAAAAAGCATCGTGTTAAGGTTCAGGTTTCTAAATAGGTACGTAATTTACGTGTCTAAAACGAAACCTAACCGATAATTAACGTCGCGTCGGCGCGCCGTTGTCGTATAATTCCCAATCGAATTCAATAAATTATTGTATATGTTAAAATTGACATTAATCAAACACTTTTACAAACAACCGGCAGTGAAAAGTAAATACAAATAATGCCTCTTGTACGAAACGACGTATATTTTATACATGAAACCTATTCGTATTGGTATTTATATTATAATATACTGATGTACATAATAAAGTAGATCCGTTTGTAAATTGAATAATGTACACCAATAAAACCTATAAACACGATAATGTTTATCGAGAGGGCGGAAGTTCAAATATGATTACTGATATAATCGTACAAAATTATTACAATAATATTTGCTACCTATTGTAATACTCCATTGGAAGTCAGTTAAAATATCTGTTAGAATATTTTTAAATACCCCAACCTAATAAAAATATGTTATTCTTCTTGTTAGGCTAATATCAGACCGTTCAAGTCTTCGTCCGCTTCAACCTTTTCACTCCGTTATTCCCTGTTATATTTAGCCATCCGTCAATGTCCATGGCGTTTATCCCGGTCGGATCTCTTCTCGCCGAGTCAATCCATATGCGAAATGATTTTTTCTCGACGAATTCATCGACGGACAATAAATCGTCCACATTGTGTTTTTCCTCACTGCACAAGACCATAATAATAATAATACTTATACAATGTGAACACTTGAAAATGCACTTTTTATGAAATTATTTGTACATACATAGGTACTTTTTTTATTTTAAAACCCAGAAGCTCGCAAAAATTGCACGGAAGTCAGTTCGTTTAACAGATTTTTCATAAGGAATCCGTAAATAGTCAGTGGAAATGTTTTTTTTTTTTTTTTGTTTTTGGTAATTCGACCTAGGGGTATTCCCATTTGAATTTTGTTTTTATAATGGTGAGAAAATTGTATTTTTTTTGTTGATTTACGCCGATGAAAAATTAATAAAACGCACGCGCTATATAATCAAAAAAAATTTTATTTTACTAAACAATATTATAACGGACAAAATAACATTTTTAAGAAACGCTGACAAACATAATCTAACAATTTGTTGATATGACGATTGCAATCACTGCAGCACAGGGTTGTTCGTGCGTTATAATTTGATCAGACTACGATAATGCCGTCGTACGAGATTTAATAATCGAATATCTCGGAGTGACTTTGGGGACTATTACGAGTGTATACGACTCGGGTGACTGAATATCGCGAGTAAAACTGCAAAAATATATCGACAGTTAGGAAATTCATCGTTAATAATATGCAGACTTATTAAACTGTATTATATTTTTACTTTTGCCGTCAGCATTATAATTATTGAGTATAATTATTTTGTGTTAACGATAATTATGGTAAATTTAAAATTGTATTGTATATTGAATACGACAATGGGTGTGTAAAACGATTTAAGGCACACCACTACCATCAACGCCATTACCCCTCTTATAAACAAATCGGTAATAAATTGCTGTTTAATTACTATGCCATGCGTTCGTAAGACAGCGGCAACAAACGCACGATAATATATAGCGCGGGGTTGAAAAAAAAAAGTTTTTCGGTTTATTAATTTGTAAACAAATGTATATGTTTCAAACATGATTTTGTGTAAATATCATATCACAGTAATATAGTTAATTATAAATATAATTTCGTCATAATTATTTAAGTACAAAATAACAATTGGATAAATGTTTACTATTTGTATTTGATATATATATATATATATACATGAAAAATGAATAGGTAAAGTATAAAAACATTCGTTCTTCAGAACGTATTAGGTATTTAAGTTTAATTTTTGAACGTTTTAAAACGTTTACGTATAAAACATATCAAATACTGGGTCTTATTTAAAACACTTCACAACTAGTGATGTGTTTTCATAATTATTTTTTTAAAACATGCTAACTGTTATATATTTATATCTACGTGGGATATTTTATATCCTTCGTATTGGTATTTACTGTTTTCTAGGGAAATAGATTTAAACTATACGAAAATCAACTTGAAATTATTAAAATAAAACATTCAAATTTAAAAAAAAAAAATGTATTGTAAATCGTAAGAAAATTGTGAATTTTTCAATTATAATAATTGAGTGATATGAACGGGCAGTGATAACAAAATACCATGTCGATTTTGTTCATTTGAAACACTATACGCAGTATATCTGTGATTTTCCAATCGCATTTTATAATATTTAGTGTGATGACAGAGGTGGGCGGTCAACCTGCTGCACGCGTGCCTTTAGCGGCACACGTTTTAATGTTATTGAACGGTTCGCTAGCGTTGGAATAACATTTCGTTGTTATTAATTATCTAACCAAAGTCGTAAATATTATATTACGCAATTATTGTGTCAGAATAACGTTAATAATATCACAGCGGTACAATTGAATCGTTATGAAAATAGAATACATTTTTTAAACTCGAATCGTATACGATATTTAACGCATTTCCGTATGAAAACCAAATGCAAATAACGGATAAAAAATCGTTATAAATTAAAAACGAAATTCACTCTTTAGGTAATAAACGCACATTATATTGTTGATTTAAACGGGCACGCGAGTGTTCATTTTTTTTTTTTCTTTCTACGGCGCACCTCTGTTGTTTTTCATTCTGGGCACAGCGCAGATAAGGGTTCGCCACCACTGTAGCCCTACGGGAACGCCGCTGTTCGCGACCCTGACGCGCGGCGTCCTCTCGAACTGTTTACTCGCCGTAGAAACGCTCCGCGGTCTTTGCAATAACTTCTTTGGGTGCCATGACGTTATCCTTCGCGATTTCTTTCTCCTCCGGGATTCGACGTGTGCGCTCCGTACGGCCGTTTTGTAAATTATGTTTACGTATATATATATGGTATGTGTGTACGTCACGTCACGGTACATTTCGGCGGCGTGATACGAGCCGCAATTATTATTAACGTCTACGAATGTATTATTATTATTATTATTATTATTATAACGGTCGCGTGATGTGTGCGCACGTCGTCGTCGTCGTCGTCACCTGTGCGGGGAGCAGCGGCGCGGTGAAAGTCACGACGATAACATTATGATGTCGGTCGACATAACAGTATAATATAATGTAGATATTCTTTATAACGCTATCATATTTTTCTCGTCGTTATTATCATCTCTTTTTCCCCGGCCGTTCGTTTTTTTTTTTTTTTTTTTCATTTTTTTTTTTTTCTGGTAACCGCTGAACGCGCGCGCGTTTCGTACTTATATACGACAATAATACCGTACAGAGTCGGCGGCGATGGAAGCGCATTAATCAAAACGTCTCCGTCCGCCACCCACTTTTAGCCGAATAGAGCTGCACCAGAATAACTTTGTAACGTCGTCGTCGTAAAAATCGTCGAGCCAAAAAAAGAAAGGAAAAAAAAAAAAAAAAGGGGAAAAAAACCAAAGTCTCTCTATATAATATTATATACCCGCGGGCTTGGGGAGACGGGCGAGAAAATCGATAAAACGCCACGCGCCGTCGATAAATAAATATATAAACGTATATATATGTATACGAAAAGTTAATAACAACAAATAATAATCTTCACGATATTATAATATTATTTATTATTTATTTTATATATTGTCGCCGGGTTTTTTTTTTTTTTCCCTGTTTATTTTACCCGTCGTTGCGTATTATTTATGTATATGAAAACGCGGCTGTCACATCGCCCTGTATACAGGGTGTCGTAACGTGTTCTACCGATTTTTTACACACTGTATATAGACTGTATAATACACATCCGCAGAGCACGGTGGGACGCCACTCTGTATTTATATATTATATATTTTATGCGCGCGTATACAGAGCGATTCTTTTATCGCGCCGAACCAGCCCCGATTATATCGGAATACGCCAAGAATTTCGGTGTAAACTCTGGGGTTTTCCGACAAGAATTATAATATAATAGAATGAATCGCCTTTCGGCAATTTCAATATTTTACCCTTATTCCGTCGTATGTACGTATAATGTAAGTGATGCAGTATAAACAGTAAGCACAGTATATCGGTTATCGGATGTTTGGCGGACTCGCATTATATTCTTAAATTAGGATTCGAGTAGAGATAATAGTATCTGTTTACATTTTCCACCGTTTACGTGAGTTTGATCGAAAAACGTTCAGAAAAAATATCTATAATATTATACTGCTTTCGAGTATGCGAATTATTTTATACATATAAAAAAAAAAAAATGTTGGCCGTGGCTATTTCTGGAAATCAAAATTCCGTGTTTGTGAGACACGTTGTATAGGTGTACAACGGAATACGAGTAAAACATTGAAAATATATCATCGCGTCGAATCGTCATACTAATGATCGAAAAAAAAAAAAAATCAAAACCATTGTAGATAATCGCACAAAACAATCACTCTGTATATTCCGCCAATTCCGCTTGAATTTCATTATATTATTATTATTATTATTATTATTATTATTATATTTTGTCTGCGGAGTACGCGACTTATCGATCACCGACTACTCGAAAGCTTATAATATAATAGTCTTGACATCATCGCCGCGTAGTTTCGTATTATCGTCTTGGTAACCGCGCGTTTGATCTGAGGATAGAAAAAAAAAAATGAAATAAAAAAATTAATATTACAACTACGTCGTCGTTCTCGCCGACAACGTTTTCGGGTAATATTAATATAATTAAAAAACCAAAAATATTAAAAATTAAAAAATACCCCGAATTCACCGAATAAAAATGTTCACTGATGAATTTTTTTCTGTTTATACGTTCAACAAAAATATTATTTCTTCCATTTTAAATTAACCACGGGTTTTGAGTACGATTTTTGTTTTGGTTTTTTTTCTTTTAGAAAAAAATAAAATAAAATAATATTTTACTTTTCAATTTGATCGTGGTGTGTGTAACTTTACAACGATATTCTAAGTTCAGGACTCAAAAAACGTCATAATGTTTCAAGAATTACACCAGATATAGAAAGCACTGGCGTAACTAATACGTTTTTTCGGGGGGGGTAGATATGAATGTTTATTAAAAATATCAATAAAAAAGCATAATTAATGTATAATATTATACTATATCACATAGTTTGATTGAAACATATTGATAATGTGGCATACTTTGATAGTTTTTTAGTAGGTGTAACACGTTATTGCAGAAAAAAAAATCGGTCTCTACGATTGTTTTTATCCAAATTAAAAATAAAATTTTTATATTGCCGTATTTCTCGTTTTTCCGGTGTTTCCCCCCCGGTTTACCCGGTATTTGGAAAATCTCTTCGATGGCACCGGCTAGATAAAATTGACTGCACTATACAGCTCTCCTCTCGTTTTTTGATTGGAGCGAGATTTATGTTAGAAAGAGGTTAGCATTCGTCACGTTTTGAAACGTCTATTTCGCTATGCCCGGCGAAAAATACCGTTATCGGATTCCGTTGGTTTTCCGGCCCGCGAGAGGGGAACCGCGGTCGGATACACTGCTCGCCGAACTAAACCAGAGTACCTATACTATTATGTTTTTCGTTTGGTGTGGTGGGAAAATCGCGTGCGCTCGTTTTTCTTTCGCGTCGGTCATAATAAACATAAATATAAATAGATACCTAATGTACATGTATATAATTAATTATTCTATACGCTATTTTCAGGCATTTCAAAACGTTAATAAAATATAACATTGCAGTGTACGGTTGAAGTAAAACAGTGTATGCGAAATAGTGATACTTATGCTCAGCGAGGAAACTGTCGTTTATCAACGGCAGTCATTTTGAAAACCGCGCGATCGAGGAACAAACGACAATTTAATATTCGTATTTATGTAAATAATAGGATAACCGTAGTTGTATTGTTATCAGTAACAGTTTTGACCGATCCGTTGTAAACAAGCGCAGTTTTATGGGCGTGGTCAGCCGGATTTAGTGCAGCTCACCGGTTGCGGTGAAAACAATATTATTAATGTAAAATATACAGCGAAGTTTCTCTACTGCGTATTATTCTTTATACTGTGGTTGAAGCTGTTTTCGTTTTCGAGTGTTTTCCTTGTTCTACGTTTTATATTCGAATATCGCAAGAGAAAAATAACGGATCCGTCAACACCGATTTGTTGTTTTCCACCAGAAATCTGGCTGCCGTCTTCAAGTGTAGCATATTTTCTGAAATGAACATTCAGTTGGCACATGGCGGAGGTCATTTTTCGATTTTCTCTGTAGATTTCTTAATAATGGGGTAAACCCGGCAAAAAACGTAAGAAAAACAGAACAAAAATTAACGTAATAGCGGTTTCTATTGTTTTCGATTTTGTTTTCGTTATTGTAATTCGGTAACCAATAAAGAGCTGACATTTGCACAGTTTATTTACCACAATAATATTAGCTTTTTATATACGTGGTAACATTTTCAAAATAGATTTTAAGCTATAATGTAGCTGCTATATAATTGTATTATTAATTCATTTTAGACTCTAAATGTAACGAAAAATGTATTGATTTTACAAAGATTTTTATTTTATTTTTTTATATTATGCAGAAAAATTCTGTCAGAAATCGTGCTTGAAGTATTAAGAATAGACGTTTTCTGAAAAGGAATTTTCCTGGGGTGGTTCTTTAAAGAGGTCGTTTTTTTGATTTTCTCAGAAAATTTCCCAATAATGGTTAAAACTTGGTAAAAACCTAGGAAAAAAGTTACAATATTAAACAAATATTATTAAAAAATATATATTTAATTATTTTACCATAATGTGACATATATATTAATAAAATAATAAAGTAAAAACAAAATTGTTAAAAAGTTTAATACTCGTAAATAAATATATAAATAAAAAATAATTTAATTAATGAATACGTCGCCTAGAGTATTATGATAAGTGTATAATACACTCGGTTTTAAATTAAAAATTCATTATCAGGTATATATCAAAGTCAAAATGTAAGACATGATATACATATTGTTTACAAAGCACCACTATTAACCGAACTCCGCTCAAAATCGTTTTTCGTTAACAATGTTTAATCGTTGCGTACAGATACACATTCAAATTTCCTTCTAGTTTTCCAATTTCTCACCACCTACAACAGTGGCTTACCTACGTGCGAAGTATGTCCGTTTTTTTTCCCGTTTCACGTGGATAAAATTGTTTTGTCCAATTTTTAAATGTTTAAAAATTTACTCAAGGTTTATTATATGAATTGTATTTAGTGTTTTGACGTGGAATAGTTTTTAAGTGAAAAATTAATGTTTTTTTAAGCACGTTTGTGTATATATATATTTATATGCGTTCCCATTTCACGATTACGATTGTCGAAATCACATTGCGGTATTATAATAATAATAAAAGAGATTATTCGGTGCGAAACCCGTCCACCCGGTATAATACCCATAATGGGTATACCGGCTCACCTTCCATAAATATAAAGTATAATATTATTATAGTCTGACGTCTGCAGTGATCTGATGTAAGAAAAATAATTATTATACCGTGCAGTTTTTATTTGGTATAATAATTTAATTGTGATTTGCTTTAGCGATTATTAAACGATATCGGCGCGTAGTGATTATTAAAAAATTCAGTAAAAATTTAAGTGTGTGAGAGTATTAAATAAAAACAAAAAAATACTGAATTTACACACGTACCTATTATAAAAGGGAAAAATATTTTTTATATTTTTTATTTCTGTATAGAATTAGAATATTCACGAAACGAATTTGTGTGGGTACGAAAATATTTAATTTCACTAGGTATATTATACTATCATAAAAGCCAAAAAAAAAAAAAATCATAATTTACTACAAAACTTTAGAGTTATGTTGCAAACGAAGATTTCTATGTATTTTTCAGAATAATCCTATCATCGTAAAATAAGGTAGTTTAAATAAACAAACCAACAAATTATTATTATTGCTCTTATATTCGTAAAATTATAATTAAGTCCTTTAATAAAAATTACGAAAAAAATTATTTGCATTTTATTTACGAATACTGTTTAATTTTTTTGTAGGTTGCTACCTAAGTGTAATAATAACGAAATTAAAGTCATTACTTATTATTATTATTTTTTAATTACCTATATATAACCTGATCTTTTATCGTATTAATTAAAAAAAAAAATTATAAAAAAACCAATTGCTTAAATGAATTTGGAAATCGTTATTAAATAAAAAGCGAAGAGTAATTTAGGTGTATAATTGGCTAATTTCTCCCTGAAAAAAAAATCCTTTTCACTTGCCTTATATTTTTCACGCCGATTTTAATTCCAACGTGACAACAGTATTGTTATCGTTTAAAAAACACGGTATGGCATGAAGCTCAGAACTCAAATGTCTGATTAGGTTTTCCATTATTATTATTTCGAACGCATTGAACTGGAAAATTCATCAGCGATAAAATGAATGAAATCTGTTGAGCCTCTAATTGTGAATTGAACACAAAGCATGAACTTTTAAGTATTTTATACACGCGATAATCATAAGTAATTGATAAACAGCAAATTTTCAGAGTCTATTTGATTGTTCCTCAGAGAATTTACAATTCTTCCATGGATTTTTTTTTTTTTTAAACGAATTCTTCTGTCAGCCAATTTCGTAAAATCGTGGGTATTTAAAAATAGTAGGTGTTTTTTATAATCCTGTTTTTTTTTTTTTTTAATGTTCACGTCAGTTTTCGAGTGGAAAATTAAAATTATTTCATGAAGTTCATACCGATTAACGTGTACCAGAAAAATAGTTGACCACCGGGAAGTATTTTATCGTGGTTTTTTTAAAAAGTGTTTATTTTTGGAAAATATCTTAATATTTTCTAAGACATCGCTATTTCCTTCTGTAATATTTGCTACTCCAATTTTTTAATAATAATCTGACGGTTATTTTGACTAGAATATATTATAATAATTACATCGGAATTGGTTTTTTTTTTTTTGAAATTTTGAACGGTTTCTTGTTCTCGTCAACCCTGTCCCGTTCAATCTCTTTCAATCACCATCAATCTCTTACAATCGGGGATACCTAACATTACACTATTATTACATATTTCTGATCGTAATTCTACTCCTTTTTTTTTTTTTAATAATTTTTGGCCGCCGTAAACGGATTAAAAATCATTACAAAGGGTTAGCCGTGCGACGCATGCAATTAAAACGGTTCGGGCGAAAATCGTTTGACGCTTAAAAACTAATTAGGTATTTATATCTATGATAATAATATTATTATACCGATTTAATACTGCGCTCTGCAGTTATCCTCAGCAAGCCACATTGGTTTTATCGTTGATTTTATAATTATTGTGTCTCGTTCCTATTCATTATGGTGTTATGTTTAAATAAAAATAACGTATATAACGTAATTTAACGTATACATATATTATATAATTCACTGATTGTTGTGTATTTTTGTATCGTTGTAATTAGAAAAAAAAAAAAAAACCTAAATTCTATACAACGCAATAACGCCTATATTAAAAGCTAAATATTAATTTTTGATTTTTATCAGTGACAGATATGGTCGCTGCCCAAGAATACATATTCCATATAGTTTATCTCTCGATCAAAGAACACGTAATGATATTAATATACGGGTTTTTTTTGTCTTTCGTTCTTTTTTAGATTTCTAATTAAAATCGAGAAAAAACCGATTTATATACATGCTATTTACCTTTCTGCGATTTATCACACTCAGCTCGGAATCGTTTTTTTCAATTACAAATGATTTATTATCGTTTCTTCCGGTTAACTAAATTACTCTATAATATGTTCCTGATATATTCCCGACGTCCCGTCGCCCGCAATACAGCGGCCTACCCGTGTTGCGATGAATGTCCGGATTTTATTTCGATTATTTAAATAATATCTCTCACTATTTTGTCGCAATTGAAATTCTGTGACGATCGTATATTTAGTACGTTTATATTTGTATGGTGTTAAAACGGTTCGAAATGAAATCGTTTTGAAACGAAAACCTATTATTGCCATGAAAACACTTCAAAACGATTCAGAAATATATCAAAACTTTTTCAAAATTAAAACGCTCGCACTACTCCGTATAGACGTTTAATTTAAGAAAATTAAAACCGTTTTGTGCGTTGAAAACGGTTTGTCGAATAAACATTGTATATAAACGCGTTTTTGAAACCTCATCATTTTATCAGTTTTGTTTGTGCGTTTGTATAGCCAATTATTAATTGTTACCCGTTATTTGCAAAAGTCACGTCTCGATTTCATTCTTTTTAATATCCTATGCATTGTTTATGCATTAAAATTAAACGGTAAAGTATACTTGATTGAATTTTAACGAGATAACAAAATTACATATTATATTAAATCGGTTTGCAAAATGTTCACTAAACCGTTTTCGTATCTACACGGACATTAGATATATTTACTGTATAAACGCGTCTAATTATATGGATATCGAGCCAAAGAGTTTTAATACATTTAAAAACGATTTGTTTTCGAATCGTTTTTTACGCCATCGAATAAATAACGTATGGGCACTAATAGAGAGAGCTTAATATAATATTCACTACAATCATAAAAACGTGTGTTACGTTTGTATATTTTATAAAACGCGCTTATTGTTTTTCGGCGGGTATACGTTTAATGAATATTGAATAATTTTACGTTGGTAGGTTGTAACTTTTCCCTACCTCCCCTCCCATCCTTTTTTTTTTGTCATACATACGACCAATTCTCATTTATAATATATTGTTATTATGTATTCAAAAAAAAAAAAAAACGCAATATATGGTTTTTTTTTATGTATTCGTCTGTCTGTATTTTATTCGATAACTGTATTTAATTATGTGTATAAATAAATATTTTACATTTTTTTTTATCGAATCCATCAGTATTGGGATACATCATATACATTTCAAATGTTAATTTTCATAGTATGCCTTTATATATTATATACCTACGCGTTTTCCTTTCGATTCTCGTTTCTCTTTGCATGCACACACACACACACACGCACGCACGCACGCACACACACACACACACACACATATATATACACGACAAATAAATAAACGACATTCGGTCGTTTTAGTAGATCACTGGGTATAGAAAGGTAAATTCATTTGATGTCCTAGAATGCGCTGGAAACTCGAATGGTAATTTTCAGTAGATTTGTATCGACGAGCACCGCTGTATACACGTCATTTACATAATGACATCGAATTTGTTCGTTCACAGAAAGTTTGTTCGCGTGTATACAGACGCGAGAATTTAGGTATAATTCGTTTCAAAATTCAGGCCATCCGTTCCGAATCGCTGAGTATTTGTGTTATCCTAAAAACTAATTACACCGCGCTGAAAAGCTATAAAACAATTACAGTATTTTACGAATTTATTTTGTTTTATAGTGATTCAAAAAAATTAAACAATGTTTTTTTATTACCGAAATATCGGGTAACCTGCACCCTGGAAGCAAGATCGCCACGACATAAAATTTGTTGTTTTGAGAAAAACAAATTTGTATTTTAAACAGGATGTTAATTTAAAAAAAGTTAACTTAAAGTTTTATTAACGAACTTGCATGTTATATTTTGTCGTTTAATATTATGTACAACACAATATTACGATATATCTTCTATTTTTGAGAATTTATAGTTACGGTTAGTTAAAAACTAAAACTACCTAACTAGGTAGTTTTAGTTTTTTATTCTAGAGGAAGACCGCCATATTTTGATTTGAGGCGGTATTACATAATACCGCCTCAATAATTACATTATACTTATAATTTCCATAAACAGAAATATACAAAATAGCCGTAAAACTTAATATGGCAAACTTAAATGTATTCTTGATTAACACCAGTGTACCAATTAAAGAAAATAACTGTAAACCGCCCTAATTTTAATTTCGACAGTTTTCAATTTTCAAAATATTATTAGTATGCGATTTATCAAAAAACAAAACATCGATATTTAAAAAATGTACAGGTAGTGCCAGCAACACTCCCTACAATTTTGTAAAGAACCTTTTTTGCGATTCTATCGATACCAATGTGTCAAAAGTAACAAATTTTAAATTGTGGCGGTCTAAGGGTCCGCATTATTCGTGTCTAAGAAAGAGATAGTAACATGATGTGTATTTAATATACAGATGTATAGTACGATATACTTTGTAATAAACGTTTTAAAAAAATAAAATTCGCCCCGGGAGCACGCGTGCGCTCGCGCGTATTATTCAAATTTTATAAACCAATATTGGCTTATGATTTTCCCGCGAGAAAATCTGTAAAGAAATAACAATAATGCGTACACCGCGTCCCGAATAACTTTCTATAGTTCGTTTAAAATAACATAAAATATTTACCAGTCTTCCATTTTTTTTTTTTTATCGCGTTGATACTCTAAATTTTTAAAACAATAGTTTTTTTTTTATTAAAAACGAAATAGTTTTCGTATCAAGAGGACGCCGCACCCACATCAAAAACCGTCTTATAATTAATATATATATATGAAATAACGAATTTGCGTACAGCAGGACCAACAACGATAAACCATATATTGCTAACGAAAAACGATTCGAAGTGAAGTTCGGTTATACATGTCTTGAAAGGCCATTAAAAAGTTTTTAAATCGCTAAAAAATTGCTTACATGTTTTGAAAATTTTACCACGTATAGTAAAAGCAAATATAAGTTTTCTCTCAAAATGTTAATTCTCTACGGATATTTTTAACTGAATTACAACTGAAAAATAAAAACAAAATTGAAAATAATAAAAACATTTTTTCCGTTCTTTCTAAGTTTTTCGGTTTGGCTTGATGATAACAGAACTACTTGAGCATTAAAAAACAACACTCTCATCATGAGCAATGCAACAAAAAAAGGTTTCTGGTCCTTTTTCTATTGGAGCAATATTTTTGGTAGAAAAAATAGTTTTTAAAAATTAAAAGCAATGAAATCGGTAACGTCGTGGTATGCCGTAAATATTTGCCATTTTTCTGATAATTTTTTTTCTGGTTCTTCAAATTATTATGAAAACTCCTTGGAAAATTAAAAAAATACTTCGCCAACGCATCAACTAGTTTAAATTTTCTTTCAGAAAAGGTGCTATCAATAGATATATCGGATACATCGGAGCAAGATTTCTGGTAGAATAATTGCTCACATATACACAGAAAAAAATACATAGTAAAACTAATAATCCCCCCTCTCCCTCGCTACGGTCCAAATCTAAAAATATTAATTATTTTATTATAATATATTACCTATCAAACGTTAAAAAAGTAGAACACTTATATATACCTATAAATACATAGTATATAGATTATAGGTACGTCTTAAACTCTCGAAGAATTCCTTTCTTAAAAAAAAAAAAAAAAACAGAATGTCTAATAAATAAAAACAACTACGTATGTACATAAGTCAAATTTGTTATCTTTTTTTTTTCTAACACAGCAGCTTAAGTAAACAAAACTCTTCAAAGGATGATTATGAAATACGCTGTATACGAGCGTAGTAGTCAGTATTTTAAAATATCTAAAATTATATTATTATTATCATCAAAGTTTGTCGCGTGCCAAAAAATAATAAATTTAAACATTGCGCTTGTTTTTTAAAATCATTTATTCATACGCCGTTTCTCTTTGAAGAGAAATAAAAACAAATCGAAACCTTAGGCGTATGTATACCCAATAATATTATTAAAAAAATTAAGTATCGTGATAAAAAATAACGCGTGATGACGGTGACAGACGCTTATTATTTAATTAAATCCCGTAAACGTATTTTTTTTTTTTTTTTTTTTTTTTTTTTTAATTTTAATTCGTCAGAAAATTGCTATCGAAATTATTATCATAATAAATTATTTTTGTAGGCTAAACAATAAAAAAAACATTCGAAAATGTTTAAGCTGTTTCGTCGGAACATAATATATTATATTTAAATGATTACATATTTCAATGTTATAATATAAGTAGGTACATTAGATATTGGTTGGTAGGCATCTACTTGTTTTTGATAATATAACTATAAAATAAACTCGATTTGTATTTATTTATTATGTCTTTTAACCAACGCAAGATTTTTCGCGGAATTCATTAGACTTGTTGAATAGGCAATTTGAAAATGTTAATATTATGTTCTTTGCTTATGCTCAGTTAAATTTATATCTATTCGCAGTCGCGTGTAAAACGTAATAAATTATTTTTGTTGAAAAATCAATAACATGTTTTTTTTTATTTCATATTTTCAAATTGTATATAAACTTTATGGTTACGGCCTAACCGTCACTTAAAAACAGCGGGCCGGCTAATAAAAACTAAAACAGTAGGTAATAGTCACCGAGCAAAAAAATAAATAAAATAAAACAAACCAATATAAATAATATTGTATTTAACTATAGTCATTTTGACATTATTATTTGTTTACTGCACAAACCGAAAATAATATACTAGGTTACTAGTCACTAGAGTTTTAATAAATAATAAATATCACTAATGGCAATATGTACAATGTGTATGCGACATGGGTTAAAACTTTAGTGATGTATATAAGTGACATATTCGTAAAGTTTGAGCGAGACATCTTTAAAAAGTAAATTTATAAAATTGACTTTACTTTGCAAAGTGTAATAAGTCGTAACTCACAAACTCTACGGACGGAAGCACAAAATAAGCAATATTATTAATAGGAAACTAAACAGTAGTTTAGTAACTCCAAGATTTAGTAAACATCTTTTATAAATTATAGAAAATAGAATTTACACCACCTATGGTTTTTATCCCGCTCATGTTTTTTGTGGGTTAGGATTATTATTGTGTTTACAGAAATTTAATAATTTCGTACGAATCGAAGTCGTAAAATTAAAACATTTTTAAGGTTATGGATCGAAAAAAAAATCGTTTGTTGCACGTTATACAACGTATTGAACCTCGTTAATACTTATTAAAGAGAATATTGTTACATTATCGTATGCGCGTTATCTCCCCGAGTGCAACTGATATAGAAAAACGCTGCTTATTTTATGGCGTTCGCTGGATAAATTTACATTTAAATCGTATAAATCACTTGCCGTTGTATCTAAACAAAAGGTATAAATCTTGTCGTTTACTCGTTTTTCAAATTATCAGGTTTATAGTAGAAAATATTTTGTAAAATGTTTCCAATATTACGTCTTCTTCTTCCGGGTTGAAAAGTGCGGTTTCATTTAAGACCATTCCATTATGTACCCAGAGCTCTATCCATCGCTTCTATTTGATGCTTATGTTTTCCACTATCTAATCCACCTCTTAGATTTTCTATGTAATCTTTCTTGGCTTGTTATTACGCGTCTTCTAACTTCATTCTTGGTCTTCCGAGGGGTCTTTTCCCTTTTAACTTTACAAGATTTACAAGATTATACTGTCGTTTATAAAATTAAAATATATTGTCTAATAAAACGTTATGGGATATTGTTGGAAATATAACTTATCTTTAAAGTTGTATGAATTATAAGTGTATAAACGAATAAGCTGTATTAGTTTTATAATGATATGTTTTTTTTATCGTCAAATATTTTTCACTTGGTAAAAACGCTTTGATTTTTCCATTCGTACCTTAAGAGATGCGGATTTTTTCGTCTGATGGTACATTATTTAAACAATTTTTCAAAATGTTCAGCCGTTCACCCCTATGAATCTTTTTTTATTTGTTGATTCCTACATTACCTCGATAACACCGGAAAAAACACGACTAATACTAATTCACTCAGAATTTTTTTTTCATTTGTATGATTTATCGTTGCATGCATTATATTAACTAAATTACCCAGTATCATCCTTCAAAAATAGAATTACCTTCCCTACTGCCCACCTGCAAAAGTGATCTACCCGTGATCATTATCGTTTTTTAAAGAAAAAATATATACCCTAGTCTACCCTAAAAAAGTAGTTTTTGATCATTATAAATTATTATCGTACCGAAAGCATATTACATCATTATTATTTCGTGATAAATGTTTATCGGAGAATATCTCTGTTTGACTCCACGACAACGTCTTCATTTTACGATAATTTACTATAACGAATGATTTACGGCTTATATACGAGTATTATCGTAAAATATTTAATATCCTCCCTCTGGTTTGTTTCGTTGTGAGATAATGTTAACGTACTTATGAGAAACACTCTGTATACCACGTCGAGCCCTTGGGTTATTTGTTATTTATCGCATCTGTCCCGTTCTCCCTGAACCCCCATTCATCCCAATCAGCTATATAGTATATACTGTATATATATTTATACGAATACCAGATGTTTATTGTGCTTGTTTTGTCGCGTGTCGACGAGCTGGTTTTTTTTCAATATAGTGCTACTTAATATATTTGAGCGGGATAGTATTATTATCACAGGTATACATTTATTTTGTATTTTCATCACTCGTTTTTCCCAAAGTAAATATAGGCACTAAGTAACTTCCGAGAAGTCGATAGAAGTTTTTTTGTTTCGTTTACCTATAATAATTACACGAAGTGATAATTAATTTTTTTTCTTTATATATCATATTATCTCTATGAATTACAATACAATATTATAATCGTAATTAAGTTTTTGTTTTTTTAAGTTTCGATTAATTTTTTCTTTTTATAAAATAATAAATAATATTAGTTTTTTTTTCGTACCTTACACCGCTTTTACGAGACAGAAATTGTATTGTTATATTATCATGTCTAATAGTATTTGCCGCTGTCGCACGTCGTGACGTTAGCTACCGCGGCCTATCTGCTTTTAGAGGTCTCGACTAACGAGACTTAATAGAATTGAAATAGACGGCACAAAATCACGTATATTAATTTATTGGTTAAATATTTTCATATTAAAATCAACTGATAGTCTAATGAAATTTAAAAAAAAAGACGGCAGCGCGTCTCACAATATGTTTATTTAGTTAAAACTTTCAACTACGTTTATACGTTTTGTTTTATATTCCCTTCCCCCTATTTATATTGAATACAAATTAACTTACGTGTTTTATTTGCATTTTAATTATGGTACTATATGATAACGCATATCATTACTTTTCGTTTTGACAATATTGAATAAATGCTAGTTTTATAAGTAATAGTTGTCAATAAGCTGTGAAACGTTCATGATTTCTATTTCTTCAGCTAAACTGTATGTACAATAACGCTTTATAATTGTTTATTTTGAAAATGACTGTTTAGCCGTAGCTATTACGTAACAGCTTGTTGAAAAAATAAACATAAAATGAACACACTTCTGGAAAACTACGCGCTCATATTATAATATTAATAATAATTTTAAAATATTCTTATTTATAATTCGGCAAATTCGTTTATAGTTTATAGTTTAAATGTGTTCTATTTCACTACTCAATATCCAGAATAGTCATCAATTGAACCAGTAATGATTTGGAGAAATAATATTTTTGTTGCAATTATGTTGTTTCGTCTCTAAATACTAGAAAGGCAGGAAGGCATTTAGGGCCCTAATACACAGACACATTCCTTGAATTCTTCTATTTACAACACTGCGTGATCGATCCAATTACTCCAATTCACTTTTGGTCTGTGTAGGATATTTCACTATACTTTAATTTCAGGTAGGAAGATTATTAGGGTAGGAGTTTACAAAAATCTCAATTAGACGATGAAAGTCAAGTTTAGCCTTAAAGCTTAGTCCACACTACGGTATTTGCTTTTATGATTATCGTAAAATTCACTACCCCGTGATGTAACTACCATAATGAACTATTGAACCATATTGAGCAGATACATACTATCGTTTTATTGATCTGTCTTGACGGCATTTTTACAGATGTTTTTATCTAAATTCACTCTACTATCTACTATGTATATATTGTGTTCTAATAACAAAATCATGGGGATGCTGTATCTTTTAACGGTTTAACTATCATGATGGTAGTAACTATCATCGTCTGGACCAAAGGTTTCTATTTTAAAGGTAACAACGGGGGAAATTCGTACGTTGTATTTTATTGAAATAAATAGCTTTATATTATTATAAAACTGAACTTATTATTTACAAGTGACGTATGACGCATATAATAGTATATTATAGTAACGAGTAAAATGCGATGCGTTCAAACTTCATTCGAGACAATTACGAAGCGTTGTCGTCGGCCTTGACAAATTGATACAATATGACGCAGTCTTCTCGTATAATAACAACGGATGACTTTGTTAGTTTTGTCTCTAATTCGAGATAATATTACTCTTTTCCGGCTTAACTACGGATAGGAACGGTTAGAAATCGCCGATTTTTCAATTAATATTTAATATATTATAAGAGCTTTTCATCCGGATAACGAATACTGTTGGCTTTCCCGTTCTTTGACTTTGGTGAAGTAATTAAGCTTTATTTTAGACCCATTTTTAATTTTCACCCCTATTCCATATACCTTAAATATGTATATACTTTTGTTTTTCAAATAGAAACCCCCCCCCCGCTTTTTAAACACAAATTTAAATAGAGGATATTTTTCTAGACATCTTGATATGCATAACACTAATCTCCGGACTAAACTTTAAACAGTTATAATTAGTAAACGATAAATATGATATTATTGTTTTGAATATCAAAATTAATAAAAGGGTTCCTATTTGTAAAACAAAAATATGTATTTATTTAAGGTGTATGGAGTAGGGGTAAACAATCAAAAATTGTTTTAAAATAAAGCTTAAACGACTCCATAATGATTAAAAAAAAAAAAAAATCAAATTCACTTTAAATCGTCCAAGATAATTGATGATAGTTCGTGATAAAAATAAAATCACTCTGTATATCATTTTTTTTTTTTTTTTTTTTTTTATAAATTTAGAATAGAAATCCATTGTTACACAATTGTAATTAACAATAAGCCTTTTGTGTGACCTTTAAATATATTAATAATATATCCTCTTTGATTGTCCTGCAACTAAAATATTAATTCTCTCTTGCTTTGTTTCGCGTGTATTGACAAATTTCATTCGAGCGAAACGTTATATATGTGTAGTTGTTGTTAACTTATTTAATGTACAATAACATTGTAATTCAATATAACTAAAACCCACTCATAGACATATTATTTATAGAGAGAGAAGAAAATCGCACACGTAGTATAACCAATACACTTCTCACTGCGTTCAAAATCTAAATAAACCGTTTATTATTTTTAGGTAGGTTATTTAAAAACGACGCGGAAATATCGTTTATGATGTGGAAAATCTGACAAATTTCCGGACTTAATTGTTATAGATTTTAAATTTTTCTCCGATATATTATAGTAAAAACATATTATTTTAATCCCTTCGGCCGCTCTCTTTATTATAATATTATATTTACTCGTATGTTATAACGGACAAAAATACGCACCGTCATTATGAAATCAATTTATTTCGACGCTTAGATTTAAAATTATAATATGTTGGTGTGCTATAATCGTGTTAGATATTGTGTAAAATAATTTAGTGGCGACGCGAGAGTAGTTATGTGAGTCTGAAGACTCATAGGTTAGATTAGGACCGTAGGTGGGTGGATAGAAGAGCTAGGTGGTCGTTAGGTAACAAAGTAGGAATTGTGTACTTATAAAGTTTTTTTTCAGTTTAACTGACAGCAGTGGAGGGTCTGTTTTAATAATACGTCTGCATTGCTGTCGTCGTTTATTATTTAACCAATTAATTAATAATTGTATTGAGTACTTGAATAGTAAAAATAGTTGACACTAACCTTATTTTTGTAAAAGATGATAAATCTATCAAATACTTAATACGTTTTAGATCCTGAGAGATGCTCAGGAATGTATTCGTTTTACTATTATGTATGCTTATTTAATATTTTTACTTCAGTCTGCAAACAACTTTTCTTCCAGAAATCTTGTTCCAATTAAAAAATATATTTTTCGTTGAATTTTAAATCTAGTTGGTGCACTGTGGTGGTAATTTTTTGATTTTCCAAATGGTTTTCATAATAATTGGCTAAAACCAGAAGAATAAAACATAGAAACAGGAAAATTTACTGCTATAGTGGTTTCATTATTATTATTTTTTATATTTTTAAGCTATTTATAGACATTTGACATGTTCAAAGTTTTTAAAGTTTTTATTCGGTTTTATGTAAGCTTAAGTGATTCATGAACTATTTATATTATCACTTGGACACTTTTCTTTTGTTCATATATTATTAATCGTTTTAAATATTATGTATAGGCATTTCAGAATGTTTTTTTTCTACTAGATCACTTTTTACAGTTGGTTACATTTTACATGACGGTGAAAATATATATCTATATATCGGGTAGACAGTGGGGTATTTTATCAATAAATGGATGGATTTAAAGTTTCACCAGACTCAATCATGATGTAAATGTGCACCACCACTGAAATAACTAAATAGATGACCGGATCTATGAGTAAATGGGAGGCCTGGGAGTAATATACCAAGAGGGAAAATTTTATATTAATATCAACCCATGAAGTATTTGTTCAATTGGTTGAATGGTTTCAGATAATTCATGTCGCACACAATAATATTTAATGGGTTAATCAATACAATTTATATGACTATCAAACTTCATACATCTTATGGGATTTATTATGTAGTTGTTTCATTTGTCTTTATAGTTTTTTAAATTTTAAATTTTATTGAAACCTTATAGATTAAATTTTAATGGAAATCTAAAGGAATTTGACTACTGTTTTTTGTATAAAAAATTATTTGTAAAGACAATTCTAAAATAACATGTTTAGAACTTTTCGAAAAATCGACTAAAAAAAATTGTATTCATCAAAGTTGCTTGAAAAAAGCAAGACTATTCAAATATGTCTAGTTTCAATTATGGGCTTTGCTAATAAAAAAAAAAAAGTTCTTTGTATTGCTTATGCGCGCTTGGAAAGAGTTATTAATTTGAAATTTATCTTTATGTGTTCAAATCCTAGGTCATCCGTCCGGTACATTTAATGTATATCCATAAACGCGAACACACTGTATATGTATATAAACAGATGAAAAAAAAAATGGGATAATAAATAAGTAAATTTTCAATAAATAGTCATTCTCGTTCGAAATAATTTATCGTTGTGTACAGATACAAATTAAATTAATAATATTTCTTACCTTAGATCCTTCTAACTTTTTTTAGTGGCGTATTCATCAATGTATCAGCTATTTTTATTTTCGCGGTTATATATAACTTCAGTTTACACTCTTTGGCAAATCGACTGCCACGCGAGAATATTTAAAAAATAATTTTCACGAATAAATATTATACGAGCACTTGTAAGGCGTAATTATATAATAATCTAATATTATACCTACTATAGTTCTACTATTTACAAGTATAATATTATAACTTAATTCAAAATGCATTAAATATTTTCAAGTCTAATTATTGTATTATTATGGTATTTTGTCTTTTGCGTAACCGTATTATTAACGAATCGTTAAAATCTTTCGACGAAATTTTGAATATTCAACGATAAAATACAATGGTATAATAATAATTGTATTATTTAAATGAATATATAATGTTTATTAACTATATTTTGTATATTATTATTAATGAGCGTCATAATTTCTACAAAGTTTCAGCGTATACGAATAATATCACGAGATACAAAATTATTACCCGTACCTACCCACAATATTTACTCTCGAATCAAAAATTCCGTTATTATTCCCTCCCCTCTTTTTTTTGTCTTTAAATTTACACACGATCAATTTTTTTTTTTTTTTTTTGTACACGCATATTATGCACAATAATAGTAATAATTAATTAGGTAACCGAAAAACCAAAAACAATTGTTCAAATATATATATATATGTTTTCAAGGTGCCGAGCACGGAGGTCTTTGCCTTTTTCGGTGCGTGTTCTGATTTTTATCAACTCACAAGGACGCCCTACGCTTTTATTATTAATAAAATATAAACACAAAGTGAAAAAACACACACACACACACACACAGAACAATACCTAACCTAAAAATTATTTGTCTATAATGTGACGTACATATATATATATATACATTATATGTCTTACGTGTTTAGTGCGCCAATATTTTTATGCAGAATAATTTATCCGTCGACCTATGGAAATGATCGATGGGCTCGCGGTGGCCTACTCTTATATCGTTGCGGCGGACACGCGTCTAATACAGTTGTCGACCGACGACCGCGACGGCGGCAGCGTGACACTCGTTCGAAAAGTTTCCCTGGGCTCTTTCCGCGCGGTAACGGCTGCAGAAGTGCGTGGCTTTCAATTAAACGACTCGTTCGAAAAGTTTCCGACGTGTGTGTGCTATTATCCGCAGTTGACCCGCCGCTCGACGTTATCCGCCTGGGGATTATCATTATTATTATCATTTTACCGCATACACGCATACCGCATACACGCATACCGCATACTACAATGGTTGGTTCCGGTACTACTGATTAGGGGGGGAGGGAGGAGTGGATTCTGCTTATCAAAAGACGAGCGGGGTCGGGTGATTAGTTAGGACGGTCAGGTGATAATGTTGATATTGTTTAATTGTTGTAATACTATTTGCTATTACTATACTTATATACATATTATTGTTACTAATTATGTATAGTAAATATAATTATTATGCATTATTATAGTTTATACAAATTACTTATTCCTGCTGTATTTTTAAACCGTAAATTGCAATTTTAGCTCCCTGTAATTTATGACTATTTTTTACTTATGGTGGGTGTAGAGGAACGAATTTTCCATTAATCTGAAAAACAATAATGACTACAGCTCATTGAAATAATTACCGTGTTGTTTAGTCGTAAAACTTTGAATTAATTCCGGCAATGATTAATACATAGATAAGGTTTTAACATGTTGAGGGTCTTTTATTTTCAGCATGTGAAATTTCTATATTACGAAGTCTCATGGGGAACAAACAAAATTCGTACTATAGACGAATTCGTTAAATATAATTTACGCATGATTTACAATGAAGGTAATGGTTCTCAAAAATAATTTGTTAAACAGAGATTTTCGTTGAATGGAAGTTCGTTGCATGGAAGTTTCACTGTATATGTATTTTATACGCTTGTATAGGTAGCACATGTACCTTGTTCGATTATACAAATAAAAAAAAAAAGAAAACATATTCGAGTAGCTGTTTTTTAAACTAAATATTTACTAGAATGCATATACTCGAACGTGCAGTATTTTAAAATTTCTCCGTTTTCCCGGTATACTGCAAAATCCATACAACTGTATGTATACTTAAAAATTGAAATTTATTATTTCACCTATTTCCAACCGAATTATAGGTTGTATCTAGTTCACAAATTGTTCCGTTTGATTCAATCATATCACTAATAACGATTAAATAAACGAGCAGAGTGTATATTAATATAATATATAGATGTGTAGCTTAAAAATAGACTGAAAAATACTTCGGGAATTAGATACTGGTTAAATTTTTGAAAATGTTTACGTGTATTATGATGCACCTTACGTACACGAGAGAAACGGGTTCGTTTTGAGAAAGTTTAACGAACGAAAATGAGATTACAAAATGAAGGACTCGTACTATATATAAATATATATATTTATTATGTTGTGTAGTATGCGCTGCCGTATACGCTACAGATAATTTCATTATATGAGCTGTAGGGGAGGGGAAAAAAAGTACTTAGGACGGAAAAGGATGTTAATGTGTTCAACAGTATATATTTGTTTGTTTGTTTTATTTTTTTGTAAACCGCTGTTGCAGTTTTTAAAGACATCACTTGTCTACCTGTATATACGTGTCTAAACGCGTAGATCTCGAGGATTTATCTTTAAAAGTCGAATAAAAAATCGCGTTTCAAAACGTCTTGATGTATTTATAAGACGAAAAAAAACTAGTGTACACCTACAACGTAATAAATTATCGGAACAGATTTATCGACCGTTGATGTTCGCGATATAATATAATATAGCGCGTGTTTAATTCTCTTGTTGTATCCACTCAAGTGATGGAAACAAAAGTACATATGATAAATATTTCAATTTGTTTTTTATAAATCTATGCTAAAAACAAATATTTGCTATCTTTGTTGATATTATTATGTTTAAAATTTTATATAAAATGGTTTCGTTAAATATTAATAATATATACGATTCTAACTCCGTTTTAACGATTTTTCTCCGTTTATATAGTTTATTCAAGAGATATTCCGTATAAACAAAACTCCCTCGTGTTGTAATAACTTATGTACGAGTTCTCGGTTTTTATTTTTCTACGCGTTCGTAAATTTGTCTTCTTACTCGTTTCACGATAATCATTCCCGACAAAATAAAACAAATCAATTTAATTACGACATCGATTATAATTTTGAGAACAAAAATTTCAAAATTTCAATACCAAAACCGAAAAAGACAAACGCATATAGAATATAGGTACTATTATATTACTACCTACCTACCTATATAATTCTTCATTTAAGTGCTTATAACTATTCAATAGGTTTGAGACGTAAGGACGTGGCCAGTATTTTATTGGTATGTATTTTAAAATTGAAAGCAACGATTAAACGAAAATCTCATTCTGTAATCTGTGTGGAAATCGGAATATGGGATTTTAAATGTAGCAGTCAAAATCAATTATAATATATTTGTGTAGCCGTTGGGTGACGGTGGTATTGTTCGAATCGAGTCTATATGGATTAGGAAAGGTCAAGTGAAGTTCCCAATCCATCTTTTGTATTTCTAATGCCAATTTTCGATTTTCGTTTTGAAAATTTTTGCCGTCAGATCTCATAAAGGTATAGCTTAACGGCGGCCATACACCGAAGAAACGTCAGAACTCCTAGAACATTTTTTTTTTGTTTTCAAAAAAAGAAAAGCGTGGTGTTATTTTGACGATTTGATTACCGAAAACTATAATATTCTCATGTGTACAGCCGCCCGATAGTTTTTCACGAGTTACATGAGTTTCGTAAGAATTTTAACTTCAAACGATTATATATATATATATATATAGAAAAAAAAATAATACATACTATAACGTGACATTACGCGTATATTTTAATCGAGGTAGCAAAAAATTAAACTTGTACATTATACCTGTATAAGTGTATATTATCAATCAAAATAAAAAAATAAATAAATAAATCTAAGAAACGCACGCGACCCGTTGAAACGATTTCGAATTTGCTGAAGAAAACTAATTATTATCTTTTTCCCTCGCAGTGATATAATTATATTAATTATAAAGGTGTCTTGTTCCGTAATTCAGCGAATTTAATTAAAATGATAATAGTGTACGTTTGAAAAATCAACAGTTCGACAATGTCTCATTGTTCGTTTGATCTTGTCCCGAAATTCAGCGTTGTCTACTAAATTCTTATAGGTTCAAATTTACCGATATGTCTGTTTTGTTATAATTGCTAAATTTGTGCCGGAGATTCGATAAACAATGTTAAAATAATGTTACAATCACATTATAATAATCATCACATTTTGTTATCAAATTCAATCTAAACATCAAATAGATCTATCGTTTAGCAGAAACGTAGGTATTTACATTTTTGGCCACTTTAGAACACTGTTCCTTTGGCACCCTTTTATGAGAACTCGTTTTTTATTATTTTTTTTTTATTTTAACGCGTTGGAATTTTGGAGTTGAAAACTATAATTTGTTTTTCGCACTAATTTTAGGCTCTGTTGAAACTACGTGATACGCAGGTTTACATTAAAAAAAAAACCTACTATTTTACGATGTTTTAAAGGATTGTGACACGCCCCCTTGATGAAACGTGGCGCCCCGGGGGCTGATGCCCCCTCCTCCGGGTCCCCTAAATGCGTATCTGTCGTTCAGTATAGAACTTTGGAAGGCAAGGTAACTGACTAAACTGACCATCGCGACGCGGCGGTATATTTCCTTCTCCCATAGCCGCGCGCGCGTATATACGTGCGTAGTTTGATTGCAAAAAAACAACCTGGTGTATACAGGAGGAAGTGGTGGTAAAAAAATAGTCGTCCGATATTGTCTACACTGTTTTTTTTTTTCCGTCGGACGGTTTTAATCCGTTCTCTCTCACTCTGCCCCCGGTGTCTCTCTCACTCACTCTATCTCTCTCTCTCTCTCCCCGTCCCCGTGCGCTGCCGGTGTTCGCGCCGTCCTACCGTAACCAGTCGAGTGTTGTAGCTCCGTCCGTACGAATGTCATTCTGTGTGCCGACTCGGCGTTTGATTATTAATCTGCACAAGTCAGTAATGATATTTTTTTCTCACCCGAAAATGCCGTGCGTACCGTCGTTTATCGATTTCCAATTGTGTTAAACGCGAAAATAATTTTGTGCGTCGTGTCCATTACTAATTAAAAAATAATAAAAAAAAAAATTGTTCTTTAAAAGTGCTACGCAGTGAGTGATAATAATTTCTTATTATTGTTATGGATTACTAACACCGTCGTCGTCACCGCTGTCCTTTTTGATTATTAAGGTATTATATCGCTAAAAATAAAACTAATAATAATAAAAAAATAAATACACATCGTATATTTATTATTATTTTTTAAGTATGATTTTTTTTTTTTTTTGGTCGTTTTGCGTGTCCGTTGTCTTGCGAATCTGTCAAGCCATTTTTTTTTTAAAATTTATTTTCCTTAACGCTTTACAGGGAATTCAAATATTATGCCATTTCCAACAGAAAACAAAAATACAATATAATCTTAATTTAGTATATTGCTGTGTTATTATAATATTAGATCATTTTTTCAAACGTTTTAGTCAGCGTTGTTGCTATCAGTTTTTTTTTTTTAAAGTTTATACTATAAACATACTGTGCGAAAGCTTTTGGTATTGCATATTATATAGAGAAGTAGAAATTTATTTAGAAAAATTACCAAAATAAAACAAAACAAACAAAGACCAAGCATTTTCATTCGTAAGAAAATCGAAAATAAATTTTCAATTATTTATAATATTGCCGAAATAAATACGAACTATTATTTTTTCAATATAATAAATAATAATACACAGGGACGACGGTATATTTTTGTTTTAACGGTTTGAGAGTATACCCGTGATGATTTGTCAACAAATCGTTCAAAGTATACGGCGGATAATAATATGAAGTATACCATACAAGAACACCATCAGCAGGTTTGACGATATATCTTATTTTTGTGTTCGCTTGTTATTGTATAGGTTTTTATAGTGCGTATTTTGTTAATTTTTTTTTTTTGTTTACATTAGAAATAATATTTTACGATTTCTGCAATTACCCTTTTGGAAACGAAAATTAAATTATTATCGTCGAAATTTAGGAGTCGTAATAGGAGGTGTGCGTATACTAAGCATAATAAGAATTTTCAAGAGGGCGGATCAAATAAATGGTTTTTATTATACGCGCTCGAATTTTTCGCATCGCAAGTTAATAAACTGTGATTAATTTTTATAAACTCGTAACTACAAAATTGTTTTGTAATAATTTTGAACTTAAAAATGTTTTTTTTTTTAAATACAATTCCGATTTTTAATAACTTTTTTTTTTGTTTCAAACGTGTTAAGAGTTGATTCAATATTATATAATATTATGTAAATGTTGGTGGTTTTTTTTTTCGGTTGTAATTTGGAATTTTATATAATAAGTAATATTATCGCGAGTACTCACTATATCGTTTTCAAGGGGAACGACAAAAATATAATAGACGCGGAGCTTAAAAATTAATAATATTATCCTTGGTATATACTCGAAAAACTCGATATTACTTACTCTCTTTGGTTTTTTTTTTTTTTTTTTTTTTTTTTTTTTTGTTAAATTTTCTTGGAAAAACGTTACGATTATTGTAGGTCAGATATATACGATGACGATTTTGAA